CTGATGTCCCTGAGCATCTCCTGGGCTGCCCGTAGCGTCAGGGAAAAGAAACAAGGCAGGCGACCCCAGATTTTATACATACCTCTGTGGGTTGTCTACTTTGGGGTGAAAGGAGCCATGTTCCGGGCTTAGGAGGGAAGACCTCCAGGATGGGCAACCCTCGGGTCAGCCCAGCTTTGCTGTTGCACCGACCACGGGAAAAAAGGCTTTTTTAGCAGTATTTTTAACTCGGTGTGCACAGGGAAAGGCTCTCCATAGAGAGCCTTGGCGATGGCTGTGCGGCCAACACTTTCAGTATCTAATAAGACAATTTAATTTGCAGCAGCCGGGACAGGGTTCGGCTGCCTGCCCCTCGGATGGCCCCGAGTCCCAGCCTTCATCCTGCTGCTGAAGCTCAGTCCCTGCCCAGGGGGCTTCAGCTCTTCAGACCTTGGAATAATTGACTGGGTGCTTAGAGGTGAAGTAATTAAGAGATCGGCGCAGATAAGCGCAGCGACAGGATTCGTCACGCTCTGCGCGCTGGTGGAGGGCAGGGGTTTACAGCCATACGTCAAGGAGACTCAGCAGGAGGGAAAATTGTGTCTGTCCCCCCCCCACACACACACCAGCGGGTGCAGACGGACACGGGCTTGCTGCGGTAGCAGGGTGGTGCAGGAAGGCAACGAGCAAAGGGGCACCAAGAGACCGACAGGTCCCCGTCACCCTCCCTGGCCCCCAAACCCCGTCACCCCCCATCCTGCTCCATGCAGAAATCAAACCCCGGCCCTCCCCCGAATCCTCCTGTCCACACGTTCCCTGTGTTGGAGGCCCAATGGGCCATGGGGCTGGAGGTGATGGGGATCTCGCTTTCGGGGATGAGAGGGATGCCAGGGGGGCTCCGGGGTGTGGAGGGCAGGAGGGTCATGGTCCCATCGTGCTGCTCTCCCCAGGCATTGGCATCCAGAGAGATTCAGGCCGATGATAGATTTTTCTTTTCTTTTTTTTTTTAAAATCCTGAGTAATTTGTCATCTTGCTGGATTGAAAGTGCGATATAGGTGGAGGGCTGGGCAGTGGTTTTTCATGACACTCTGGGAACTGTGGTGATAAAAATCATTTAGCTTTAATTTATAGATATTATAAAAAAATTAGAAAGAACCCCCCTGCTCTTGATTTCTAATATAATAAGATTTATTTTTAATGTGACCATTGTGCCTTCTTCAGCACAGGGGATGCCTCTGTGTTTTATTGCCCCAGTGCTGCCGCTTTATGAAGAAGGCTGTTTATGGCTTCGAGCTGATTTTAATTATCGTTTTTTCAAACATTTGGCAGGCTGCTGGAAGTTGTGGCATGGGAGCTGAGGCCAGGCCCCTCTTTTGTGTCCGAGAAAGTGAGTGGGAAGGTGGTGGGGCTCAACAAAAGGTGCTTGGCTCTGTTCTGGTGAGGCATGGAACAGACTGGAGACGTCTGATGGGGACACCGAAGGAGCCTCCTCCTGACTGCCTTACACTGCTGTCTCCCTACTGCTGGATCAGCTCTTTATAGACTCACAAAATCGTTTATGTTGGAAAAGACCTTTAAGATCATCCAGTTCAACCATTACGCTAACACTGCCAAGTCCACCATGTCCCTAAGCGCCACATCTACACGTCTTTTAGATACCTCCAGGGATGGCGACTCACCCGCTTCCCTGGGCAGCCTGTTCCAGTGCTTGACAATCCTTTTGGTGAAGAAATTTTTCCGAATATCCAATCTAAACCTCCCACTGGCACAATTTGAGGCCATTTCCTCTCATCCTAGCACTTGTTACTTGGGAGAAGAGGCCAACCCCTACCTTGCTACAACCTCCTTTCAGGCAGTTGTAGAGAGCGATGAGGCCTCCCCTCAGCCTCCTTCTCTCCAGGCTGAACCCCCCCAGTCCCCTCAGCTGCTCCTCACAGCACTTGTGCTCCAGACCCTTCACCACCTTCGTTGTCCTTCTCTGGACACGCTCCAGCACCTCTTTCTTGTAGTGAGGGGCCCAGAACTGAACCCAGTATTTGAGGTGTGGACTCACTAGTGCCGAGTACAGGGGGACAATCACCAACCACAAGGTTTCTGACACAAGCCAGGATGCTGTTGACCTTCTTGGCTACCTGGGCACACTGATGGCTCATATTCAGCTGGATGTCAAACAGCACCCCCGGGTCTTTTTCCTCCAGGCAGCTTTCCAGCCACTCTGCCCCAAGCCTGTAATGTTGCGTGGGGTTGTTGTGACCCAAGTGCAGGACCCAGCCCTGAGCCTTGTTGAACCTCATACAATTGGCCTTGGCCCACTGATCCAGCCTGTCCAGATCCCCCTGCAGATCCTTTCTACCCTCAACCAGATCAACACTCCTGCCCAACTTGGTGTCAAACTCACTGAGGGTGCACTCGATCCCCTCATCCAGGTCACTGATAAAGATATTAAACAGAACCATCACCAGTACTGAGCCCTGGGGAACACCACTCGTGACTGGCTGCCAACTGGATTTAACTCCATTCACCGCAGCTCTTTTGGCCTGGCCACCCAGCCAGTTTTTTACCCAGCAGAGCATGCCCATTCAAGCCACCAGCAGCCAGTTTCTCCAGGAGAATTTTGTGGGAAATGGTGCCAAAAGCTTTACTGAAGTCTAGGTAGAAAACATCCACAGCCTTTCCCTCATCCGCTAAGCGGGTCACCCTGCCATGGAAGGAGATTGGGTTAGTCAAGCAGGACCTGCCTTTCACACACCCATGGTGACTGGGCCTGATCACCTGGTTGTCCTGGACGTGCCGAGTGATGGCACCCAAGATGATCTGCTCCGTAACTTCCCTTGGCACCGAGGTCAGGCTGACAGGCTTCTAGTTCCCCAGTTCCTCCTTCCCACCCTTCTTGTAGATGGGTGTCACATTTGCCAACCTCTGGTCAGCTGGGACCTCCCTGGTTAGCCAGGACTGCTGGTAAGTTCCATCTTTACGGGATGAACTGGAAGGATTAAAGGGTTACAAAACCCCACATGGGTTGTTTTATAGTGCCTTAACCCGTCAGGTTCCCCGCGCAAACGTGTCGCTGGGAACGTGCCAACCCCACCAGGGCCTCAGCAGGCACCTCCCTGCTAGCTGGATCCATCCCACCATGGCACTCACCAACCCCACCAAAGGTCCCAGGACCCCCTGCTGCTCTGGGGGAGGACTCCGAGGAAGACTTCCCACCACCTGGCAGGGTCAAAGCCCCACACCCTTCAGCTCCTTTCCTCCCAGTTCCCTCCCGTTCCTGAAAAAATGCCCCAATTAGGTCAACAATGCAGCGTTAACGACCCCCCCCCCCCCCCCCCCCCCCCCGCCACGCTTCGCCCCACAGATGACTATTTTCGCTGACAAACGAGCCGCTCTAAAACCCAGGACTTCACCCCCTGCCTGTAGATGGGTTTTGGAGCTGTAAGTGGAGACGTGTGGGGATTGAGGTGGCATTTGTTGAGCGAGGCCACCCCCGTCCCGTGGGAGCCGCCGGCTCGCGAGCTGGGCTCGGGGGGGAGACCGTGAGGGGAGAAACCCAATACCCCTCTTGGCTCAGTCGTGGCTTAATTTAGAGCACGGGGGCTCTGCTAGAGTATTTTTCCATTTAAAGTCGAACCTCATTCCTTTTGTCGTTGCCCGGGATGAGGGCCCCTGCGGCTTGCAGGGCAGTAGCAGCTGCTGGCCGCGGCTGCCGGAGGGGTTGGCGAAGCGATTTCCAACTCAGTTCCCCTTTGTCACCAGCTTCCTCCCCGTTTCACCCACGCGAAGGACTGAAAACCAGTCTCCTCCTCGCACCCCTGCCCTGCTTTGGAGCCTCGGGGGGGGCCACGAGCCACCCACAGCCCCGATCTACAGCTCTAAATTGGAGTTGTGACAGCGGGATCGGCTTTGACCTGCCGACTGATCCTTGGCCAATTGGCCGAGCGGAGCCCAGGGCAGGGAGAGCTCGGCTGCGTCGATACTGTCTATATTTAACCACGCTAATGCAACTTAATTCATGTTACAGCCAGTTTGGAAAGCTGCGCTCTTGCGATGCCTGCTCTTCACAGGTAGGCGCCTCGCAACAGGCTGAAAGGAAAGCGATGTCAATTCATCAAAGGTCATTTATTCCTAGCGGTTTAGTTGTGCTTTTAAAATTGGATGCATCCGCCAGGCACTTTCCGGCTGCTTTGTGGAAGTGCTCTGCCCAGCTCCAGGCTAGACCACCTTTGGCTCAGCCCAAGTGTTTGGAGGACTCGTAGTCTCAGCATACATCAGCTAAAAGCTGACCAAATCCTAACACGGAGTGTCTATAGCCTCAAATATTGGCAGCAAAATTAACCTTACGCTGTTCTTCCCAACTGTAACCGTCAGCCTGTGCCGGCGATGCCGAGCCTTGTCACCACACTAGCCTGTCACCACCGTTAGCTACAACGAGAGACTGAAAACACTCAGAGCTTGTCAAAAAGTGGCTTGTGACATGACTTTACGCGGGGTGAAGGCTGTCCCAGTGAGGAAATGCTGGGTACTCACACCACTTTTATCTAGCAAGGGAAGGCGTAACGACGACTGGCTGCAAAAGGAAGCCAGAGAAATTCAAATAAGAATTGAAACACAGGATTTTAATGGGCTGGTAATTATCCGCAAGGACAAACATCCAAGGAAAGCAGGGGGTTGCAGAGGTTTCAGATCAAGCCCAGCTCCATCCCTAAAAGAAATATTGTAGCTCACAGAGCACATCTAGCGTGCTGGAGAGATTCTGTGGCTAAGGATCAGCAGTATGGGGTTTTTGCAGGTAGTGAGAAAATTATTTTCACTGGTTTTATTCTCTGAGTGGTGGGTTGAGGGATATGGGGCTGCTGCAGGCAGCTGAACTGGGGCTGCTGCTTCCAAGATCTGTCAGGGTTTCTTACATTCAGCAACAAAACAACATGCACTGCAAGAAAACCGGTCTCATAGCTTGAAAAAATGGGAAGCAGTTGCTGCAAGAGTCAGCACGGGGAGAATTCGAAGGCAGGTCACTCTGTGGAAGTGCAGAGGGAATTTATTTCAAAACCAAGGTGAAAACTGGGAAGACCTTGACAATTTGGCCTGTGTTCAGACCCCGTCACTGCTCTGTGACGAGAGACAGGCTGCACATTTCCATGAGGAACAGTTACTTGCAGGTACAGGCTCTCTAAATAAACTATAGTTCCTTTTTTGTCAAGGCATCTGGTGTTGCTCTGTGAGAGTTTGTGCAAAAAAAAAAAAAAAAAAAAAAAGAGAGAAAATGCTTCATTGCAACCCCAAACAAGCATATGTTTAAAGAAATGAGTGTTGCAGCACTTGAGAAGAGGTTTGCACCATGTGCTAGCGAGCCGTATGTGTTCTGTAACATATATCACTCCCAGTTTCTGATCTGTGTTTCATGGAACGATTCAGAGCCATTTTGCTGGAGAGTGGTACAATCCTCACCGCTTTGTCACGGGACGGGGAACAAATGCTGACTGTGTATTAGAAAGGACAGCAGACTCCCTCTCTGGCACTTACATGAAAATATTATCGATTCACACTTCTGTGTAAGCAAAATCAGAATCTCCAGCTGCAAGCTACCAGCCCGAATTTAGCAGCCACTGCACGGCAAAATCTCCACACCTCTCGCCACAGCTCGGGCAGCTTTTCAGAGTGATCCCCTCGCTCTTTCAGGTCCTGAAAATATCTATTGGGGATGGGGTAATTTCTTCTATTTGGTCTGCTTGTTCTACCCCCTGCTACATAATCATCAGGATGGAGTTGACCAGGAACAAACTGCGGCTCTGAATGAGACTGCGTCTGTCTCTCGAGCCAGGATTTATGATTCCTTGGGTTGTTGGGAGGAGAGGATTACGGGTTGTAAAATGCCTTTTCCTCTGCTGCTACCGGCAGGGTGAGCAGGAGGAATTTGGCAATGAACCATTTTGGTTCCATGAGAGAGGCACCTGACAGCTTTGCTGAGCTATCGGCCAGCACTGGGGGAGCAGAGCAGGGCTCGCAGGTACAGGGAGGGTTAACTCTCAGGCGCTGAGCTGCTTCTTGGCTAGCGGCCTCCTCCATCAGGGACCCCGTGAACTGTTTGAAGAGAGACACCTCTGAACCTAAGCAGGAAAAAAGACAGGGATGGCAGCACCCTCACCGCATCTGGAGTAACTCCTGCTCTGCTCTCTTTTTCCCTCTGCCTTATCGCAGCACAAATCCCCGTTCTGGGGAAGGGGGCAGCGCCTTGCCTGTCCGAAAATCCGCTTTGCGCTGGTGGTGGCTGGGGTTAAATTCTGACAAACTCCACGCTCACGAAAAGAGGCTGGTGGTGGCTGGGGTTAAAGTCTGACAAACTCCACGCTCACGAAAAGAGGCTGGTGGTGGCTGGGGTTAAAGTCTGACAAACTCCACGCTCACGAAAAGAGGCTGGTGGTGGCTGGGGTTAAAGTCTGACAAACTCCACGCTCACGAAAAGAGGCTGGTGGTGGCTGGGGTTAAATTCTGACAAACTCCACGCTCACGAAAAGAGGCTGGTGGTGGCTGGGGTTAAAGTCTGACAAACCTCACGCTCACAAAAAGAGGCTGACAAAGCAAAGCAGGAAAAGAAGAGCTTTCAAGACTTTCAACAGAGAAACAAAGCAGCACTATACAGAAATAACTAGCTCTCCATTTGCTTGTAATCCCCAAGGCTAGCTCGCTGCTGGCAGGCTGCATGTTAATGCCTTATTAGCTTGCGCTTGGTGTTCTCACCATGCTGCAAGAGAAAAGGACAGAGATGCAAGGGGTTTCAGCATCTCCACAAGTCCCTCCACCACCGCAGTCAGGACCTGCCTGCATTTTCTTAGCATTTCTTCCTAGCGAGAACAAGACCTGCCTGCTGGATGAATGCAGAGATCCAGAAGTAGGGAATTCATAACCTGGATGGCAAGTTTCATATGGAATGAGCTGAATTTAAGGTAGGTCTGACTGACTGCAGGGTTAATCTGCACGGTTTACCTTCAGTGGAAATTCCACTGAGTTTCAGAAAACTCTGCTGTCAATACGTTCGAGCAAAGAAAAAGGTTGGAATGGTGAGTGGAGCCCCCCCCCAAAAGTTAATTTGCAGATATTCACAGGCCAGGCTAATCCACTCCCTCAGCACTTAGGTACTACAGTAAAGTCTGAGACAGACAGGTATCAGTGTGCTGATAAAAACAGAACCGTGTTTGTTCCTGGCAGGACTTTGGAAAGGAGCTGGCATAACTTCTGTATAGAAAATTCCTTTATGATCTGATAAAGGCAGCAACATATTGAATATCGAGCCCTCTTGAGGAAAATGCTGTTGAAACTAGGGAGGTTTTGCCCAAAGTCACACTGCAGAATTGCAGCTTCCTAAACTGCACCAACCTCCAGCATGTGCAGTCTGAGAGCCAGCTGCTCTCCAACTCTTACAGACAGGATTTGCTGACACGCAAAACCTTCACTCTTTTTGTATTTCATCTCCATTTCTCATCCTCTTCTGCAAGTGCTAAAGAAATGACATGATCTGAGGCTGCAAAACTACACTGCTGCTGCATTTCAATTCGTGGGCACGATGCCTGGGCTCCCTCCCTGCTTTGCAGTCCAAAGAACTATGAATATCTTGTTTAACTCTTCTCCTGTTTCTGCTGCTGAATGGCCTGTAAAAAGATATCCTTCACTTGGTCCATTGTGTCTTGATACAGTTTAAAGTCTTCCTCTTTCTTTCTCACAGTAGTCTCCAAAGTGGCCTTCAGAGCTTCATTCTCATCCAGCTGCATCACAAGCCTACGAGGAAACAAAAGCAAAACTTTGATGTGAACTGAGGAGCTTCAAAGCAAGTTAGAACAGTGCTTCAGCTCAGGGGAAGAGAACACTGAAACGCATGCTCTCTGGTAATTTTATGACAGGCGTGAGAAAGAGCAGACTTAACACTTGTTCCTTCTTTTTATAAGATAGAGAAGAGTATTAGATGACCGAGATACTTTTCAGATCTCTTTTGTTAAAGATTTAAATTTTATTTTTGCTAATAAGCATTGATTCATAAGGAAAGAAGAAGAAGAAAAAAAAAGGTGTCTTCCTTGCACATCTTTTGTGTTACTTAACATTTGCATTAGCTTAACTTTTCTGGACATCTGTATATTTATTAGGAAATTTGTGTAAGAATGACATAGACAAGCTCAAACCAGAGGATCTGTGATTTCTACAGAGCTTGCTAGGTTTTATCTTCTGAGGAGCAGGTGCAGGGAATATCCCTGCTAAAAGGACAGGAATGAGTTTTAGCTATTGCGAGTAACACAGCGTGGAGGAAGGGAAACCATACCTTGTGCTCAGCTCCTCTATCTGCAGTTCCAGAGGCAACCTGGAGAGCTGGGCTGCCGAGAGCTCCTTCCTATCGCTCAGATTCAAGGTGCGTCTTGAGTGACTCACAGGCTGGCCTGTAGATTTGATCACAAAACGGCGTTTTAGTAAAACAAGCAACCATTTTCACTTGGTAGCACGCTGAGTAAATCTCAGGAAATAGTGAATAAATTCTAAGGAGTCTGTTCAGTTTCACATATATCCATGAAGACACTGTAACTATATAGGACAGTCTTTTAATCTCCTTTTAGCAAAATTAAAACACGATGAGCTTTCATTTTTGGGCTAAATGCAGTAATATGCATGCCTATCTATTTAGAGAAGAAAAACAAAATCCAAAATATTTAAGTGGCCAAAACAATAGGTGATAGAAACAGCTGAAAAATATTATTTTGATTTTTATCTTCTCATTCATAGATTATGGCAACTGTTGCTTCCTGAATGACTGTGATAACGTCTGTGTGTGGCACACACCGAAACAGCTTTTGTAAAGCCCTCTGATTCTCAGCATAAACACAACATAGGTTAAACGCAAGAAAGCCCTTAAAAAGGTACTTCAAACTAAGGTTCTAAATCAGGAATGCTTTCCTAATTAAAGGCCTACCCAAAACATGCAGCATTGCTGCTGTGATTTCAAAGGAACACAGAAACTTTTTTCAGGGTTATGGAGAAAATATAATTCAAATTTACTACTGGGATTGGCAAACCCAAAAGCGGACTGACCAGTAAATCCCTACAATGGAAGAAGGCTCAGAGACAGGCAAGGATGACGTGCTCAAGAAGCTCAGAAAGGAATGTAGGAAGTGACCACAGCTATTGTAGAGGATGCTGAACTTATCCCAACACCCAGGGGACTGGAGGGTGGTCTTTGCTGTAGAAAAACAGCTGAATCAGTTGAATATATGTAAATGGCCTTCTCTAAAATAATCGTTAGAAAGTACTACCTACTTGGAGCCAGCCAGACCAACAGGAGGGAAGCGTATATGTGGTCCAGCCCAACACAGTACAAAAAATGAAAAAAACAGCAAAATGAATGCTGAAGAAAACAACAGGCTTGAGCTGGCTTCAACCCATGTATTCCTTCCCAGCAGCTGGGGTCACCCAGCGTCATGACAGGGAGCATCTAGGCCCAAAATCATATTTGTGTCGTGATTCAACTGCACATAGCAATTACTAGATTGTGCTTGTTTTGTGATTTCAGTACATTGCTGTATCACTTTTCCAAATTAAAATCACGCATAACGTCAAATATCTTCAAATAAGTAAATTTGTTATTCAAACACCAAATCCTCCTCGTGTGGAATATCTAATAGAATCTGGTCAGAGAGTGTTGGACTCTGAAAAAAAAAACATATGAGAAGAAAAGGCAATGTTGTATAACCAAGAGATGCTTTTGATCTTGAGGCTGTGTTTTGCAGGGCTGAGGAAAACCTGCTGTTACTTACCTATTCTCCTCTGGGATTATTTTTGCTAATTTGAAATATGGATAAGACAGGAAAAAAAAAAATGAAAAGCATGAATAATTTTAAAACACAACTGGGTTGTTTCTAGCTACTCAGCATCATTATCTACTTCTCTTGAATTGAAGAGACTAGAAACATTAGATTAGCAATTAGATCAGCTCTCTCCAATTTTGCACTTTGAGAAAGAAAAGAAAATAATATGTTAATTAGCGGGTTCTCTAGTCTCTATTTTATATTCAAGCTTTTAATTCCTTCTTATTTCCTCAACTATCTAGCATGAAAGCATTTAGATAACCTACATGCTCTGCTGAAGAGGTATATTACAGACTTGTAGACTTGTTTCTTGTACAAACTCCAGAGAGTTTGGGCACATCACAAGGGGCCGAGCTCTCTTCAAAGAAGGGTGGTGAAATAGATTGTGACCTACTCATCTTATGGACTTAGAGAGGATTTCTTCTTCTTAGTCTCACTGCCAATCCTTTTCTACATTTGCTTTTAGTCCTTAAGCAGACAGGACTAATGGACTAAGTATTGAGTAAGAAGGAACCTCTCACACTCCTAAGAAGAACCTGCTTCAGCCAGCTATGAAATGCCGCTCTCCCAGAGGTGAGTTACCAAATCGTTACTACAGCATAACAACTTGACCAAAATGTCTCAGGACCTGGAGAGTTTATCACTGCATCTCTCTGAGGTTGCAAGGGAAATCTAACTAGAGCACACGTATGATTACAGAACAACACATCAACACTTTACGCTACCAGGTTGTATAAAAGTCTGAGCACTCAAAAATTCAGTTAAATTCTCCTCTAGAAGACAGCATCAAAATGCTCCCACACTGAGGCACAGAGTCAGCTGTGTTCCCACAACTCTCACCTGGTGATTATCTGTCCCTACACACACCCTGATTTCTTCCCCTGGGCATCTGCAGAACCATGAGGGCTCCTAAACCCTCTCACCTCCAAACCCTCCTTGGACTCATAAAGGGCATTCATAAAGCACTTCTGTGAGGTCCAGCACTGCTCTCATATCAAGATGAATGCCCTATATCCTAAAGGCCAAAGGCTGCAGCATTTTGTTTCTAAGCTCTAGGTTTCTATTAGGATTTAAGTTTCTCTGCACTATTTTTTCTGCTGTCAGGCTCTCGGTCAATACAGGTAAGACAGCTCTAAAAATCAATGCTTGCAGAAAAACACAGGAGAATGAGTCAGTGTTGGTTGGAGCCCTTTCTAAGGACCCAACAGTTCTGCTCTAAGGAACGGATCCATATTTTACAGAGTGGAGTAGGTTTGAAGCAATCATTCAGTCCTCATTCAGGATAAAGGCGTTCTGTTCCCGTATACCTAATTCTCTCTGTATGCTGGATGGGTAAATGGCAGTGCTTCCCGTGAGGTCCTGACCACCGTGCAGACGTTACACTGGAGACCCCACCTCTCCTGTACGAATCGAGATCATAGTGAACCACAACATGTGATTTCTTGCACCACGGTCCTGCTCCAGAGAGAACTTACTGCCAAACACGCACACGACCAAGAGCGCTACGATGGGAGATGCAAAGAAATGCAATGCAGTTAGAGCAGCGTTTCTTACCTCAGTCTGACCCATGCCTAAGGAGAAACAAGACACCAGTGCGGGTGGAAAAGGAGGTGACTGCTTATACAGGTCAGAGGGCTCAGTACAAGTCAGCTCTAAGGTGGTGAGCAGCATTAAGACGCACCGTAGTGCTGACTGGAGTCATGATGGAAAGCCACGCCACGCGTCTGCTGAGCTGCAGGGCAGTCCCCCTGCAGCCCAAGATCATGCGTTTCAGCGTGGGGCAAGCCAAGAGCTTGTACAAGGTCTGTGATGAGGCTTGTCACCTCTCGAACCACCGTGACTCAGCCTGATGTTTGCCAAACTGAAACTCCCGTTCCTACTGTTCATATCCTGGCATTTAAAATTGTTTTACTTTATGAAAATACATATAAAAAGGGAAACCACTGGAAAAGTTTCCTTAAGAATATGTGCCATTTTATTGGTTTAGACACTTTACAGGATCGGAGTCCTTAAGCCATAAAAGGATCTGATCAGGGAAATAAAATTTTAACATCCACCATGAATTCTTCTCCTTTAACTATGCTAGTGAGGCTTTCATATTTATAGCAGGAGATTATCATGTTCATGGGATAATAAATTACACTAGATCTAATTACTTCATCACCAGCAATAGTTTTTCATAGGCACTGACAGGCCTTAAATTGGGATGCGTCCTTTAATTCTGTTCTTAACCTTCAGATGAATCTCTCAGGCAGAAGTGCAAAGGGGACACAGCAGTGGCCATGGTGGCAACATAGAGCAGTGTCAAGTTTTTTCTGTGGACTGTCATCCTATGAAAATAACACACTGCAAAAGTCTTGGTCCCACTTCAAACCTGTGGCAAAATCCTCTTGAATTAAGCGCGGCCAGGATTTCACCTTCTGTACTGGTCCACTGGTCTGAGTAGGTCCAAATAATCGCGCGTAAGGTCAAGCACTCGTGCAGGTTTGATAGATAAGAGTTCAAATGTTGTTGCTGTCAATTAACCACAGAGGTGGGACGGGGGACACAGCTGTAAATAAGTGCTCGACCTCACCTGTTTTGCTCCTCAGGGGAAGTTTCTGTGCGCCTGTGTTCCTCCCTGGATCCATTTGCAGTTTTTCAAGCTGCTGTTCCACAATGACACATCGCCGCCGCTCTTCCTGAAGCCTCTTCTCAGCTTCTAAGACTTTATTGCCACCTTCCTCCACTCTGGTAGGCAAAAAAAAAAAAAAAAAAGGCAGTTCAGCTTGTTTATGTCATGACTATCAAGGATCAGTCAGCCTTGATGCTGAATCCTGCTTTATGCTGTATAGGTCCCAACAGAGGGAAAAGGAGAATTTTCCACGCATCCAAAGGCAGAAATTCCAGTGCAATTGTTCCAGATGACATCCTCCAAATTTGCAAAACAGAATTAACTAATGAGTACAGTTGGAAATAACGGGTTCATTAATGGAGGTTGCCTAGATCCCTTAACACTGGCTACTTGTGTGAATTTAGCACTCAGATGGACAGGCAAGCTGCAGATTGCTGAGGAGAGGTCTTTTATTTCAAGAATAAAAGAAGAATTTTTTAAATGCACTGGGAAAATTTGGAAGGAAAATAGTTTATAAAAACACTGTCTAGCATTTAGCTGTCTTGTGTCAGTTATCTGCAAGAAAGAAAAGAAACTTGATGTTGCTTTTAATAAACTTGGCCATTAGAGAGTGAATAGAAAGTGATAGTTCGCTCCGTGGTACAGAACAGAAGAGCAAAGTGCCTCTCTATTCACCCTGCACAACATCTTAGAAAATTAGCTACAAAATATGACGTGCACCCACAGATGCAGTCAGTGGTGCATCTCAGGTGGGGCAGCGCCTGAGACCAAATGATTTAAAGGAGCTTAAAGCTAGAGAGAAACCTGAATTGAATCAATGTATTGTATAGTGTAGGATAAAAGAATTTCCTTCTTGACCCCACAGGTGATAACTGATTATTCCCTGAACCAAGAGACTTGATTAGTCTTACTTCCCTTCTAGCTGGCATAACTAAAAAAATATTACAACTACAATAAAATTATATCACTGTCTTAAAAATCTAGCTTACAGGCAAGACTCTGACCTCCTGTGGCAGTGAATTACCAGGTTGGCGACATGCTATGAGAAATTATATTTCTCTCAGTGGTTCTGAATTCACTAATCTTTCATTTGACCAGGTGTTCCCCTAACATCCATGTTAGACAAACAGTGAAGGAAAACCGACAAGACTGGATGGTTTTTATTAAATCTTCTGCCAATATGAATAACTTAAACTGAAACGTTTCTCTAGCTCTTCCCCTTCTGCCAGCAGGGCCCAAATCTATAAACTGTTTACGACAGAGCGTCTTCTGCTCCTCAGTAAGTGATTGTGAAACACAGTCCTAAATTCTGGCAGAATTCTGCTGTAGAAAAATCCCACTCGTAACCATTCCCAGTGCTCTTCTCTTGACTTAAGCATTATAGGTATTACTTGAGCTTTGCTGACCCACACTCCAACAGGGGAAGGCAAGGGGAAGAATGCCTGATTTTTTTACATATATTTATGTTGAAATATGACTGGATGTTGTATTATCCCAAGGTCTTCCAAGAGTTATTGCACACAATCTCGCAAAAATTAGTTTACCTGCAGGAGCTCTTGATAACTGTGTGATAAGTGTGGAGCTGCTGAATCATCAGTCTATGGTACATTTTACAAGCAACTGCATTTCATTGACTCCATGCTCTTCATTATCCCATATTTGTGATGGCCCCATTTCAGCTATCACTCACACCTCCATCCTTATCTAATTGCACAGCTCTATTAAAGTCACTGGGCTTACAAACATGAATAAAATTTCTCCAGTGTGTATTTGCAGGATTTAGCCCTTAAGAGGACAAGGGATGACACCTTTACCACATTACAAAAAAATGTATTTTTCTAACCGAGATTAATTGTACGGGACAGAAGTTAAACAAGTGAGAAATGACAACTAGTGTAAAATAAAGCAAGCAAGCAAATAGTGTCTACTGTATTCAAAAGCATACGGAAAAAAATATATCTTCCCACAAGATGGAATACAGATTTGGGAATCGAATCATCACAGAATCCTAGAATGGTTTGGACTGGAAGGGACCTTATAGATCACCCAGCTCCAACCCCTTCACCACGGGCAGGGCCCCCTTCCCCCAGCCCAGGGGGCTCCCAGCCCCGTCCAACCTGGCCTTGAACCCTTCCAGGGAGGGGGCAGCCACAGCTGCTCTGGGCACCCTGGGCCAGCGCCTCACCCCCCGCACAGGGAAGAATTTCTGCCTTGCATCTCATCTAAATCTGCCCTCTGTCAGTTTAAACCTGTCACCCCTCGTCCTACCCCCACCCCCTGACCCAGAGTCCCTCCCCACCTTTCCTGTCCCCCCTTTAAGCCCTGGGAGGCCGCTCGAAGGGCTCCCCGGAGCCTTCTCTTCTCCAGGCTGAACCCCCCCAACTCTCTCAGCCTGACCGCACAGGGGAGGTGCTCCATATATGTTCTCTAAGTGGGGAAAAAAAAGCAGTAGCTAAAAGGTATCTAAAGAGGAAAGACTTTGCTTCTCCTGCCTTCTTAAAACATAGCTAGCTTTTTACATCATCTTAAGTTGAACTGAATAATAGAAAAAAGAAAAAATCACTGCTATGCATCAGTTAAACCAGAAGAAATTAATTTAAAAGAGGCTACCGTGAAACTTAAAAGAATGTGAAAAGCTTCTGAAACAGAAGTCAGATTATAACAGTAATTACAGTATTTTTTACTGATGAATAATATTGCTGCCTAAATAACACCACACATATAAATACACGAATTCTAGTTTTATCTAGGTGCAGCAAGCTTTAAGATGATTCCATTTTTCCTATCCTTTGTTCTAAAAGAATAATAATAAAAAAAAAAAAAATGAATCATCAACCAGGCAGGGAAATTGAGCAGAAAAAATTTAAAAGCCCCTATTTAAGGAAAGGAGCACGCTGGCAGCGTATGGCGTACTGTACTGCATGCTACAGACTCTCACACGTCTCAAGCGCTCCTTAATCGCAGCAGCCCACAAAGGATACTGGCAGAATCAGCCGCTACCTTTTCTGCAGCACAGTGACCAGTTCCAGGAGCCTGTCTCTCTCCACTTCAGCAGCCTGGCAGAGTGCCCTGTGCTCTGTGATCTGTGTCTGCAGCACTTTCAAATCCGGGCTGTCAGTGCCAGCAAACCTAAAAGCAGCAGAAGCGTAGAGAGTCTGTTTCCCGTTTCACAAATGAAAGAAATGAAACAAAGACAGGATTTGAAAAACATATCAAAATACACTTGTCTGAAGACTAAGCCAGAACGCAGAGCCAGGCTCACTGCCTCCCCCCAGCATCAGTCTCTATTCTGCAATAAATGGAATGGAAATATTTGGAAATAAAGCCACCATGAGTTTCATTATAAAGGTCTTTTCCTTCGCAAGGATGTTTTCCCTTCCCACCACTCCTGAAAACAAACTTCCACCTCTGATCAATTCACTATCACTGACTCTCCTGCCATTGCTGCTGCCAAAGTAAAAGAAGCCTATGTGTGGATTCTCCAAAGTGCTACGCTAAGCTATTAAACGGCATGCTATTGATTTTCTCCTACTGAAAGGCTTCAGGCAGCATTAGTACAATGGCTGTTCTTGTGCCTAATATGTGATGAAAGGAAGGGGCTGTTTTCCCATGTAACCCATTATTATGTACTTCATTACTTCTCTGACCTCTCCGCAGAGTATTTACGAAGATCTCCTTTAGAGCGAAAAGCAAGCGAAATCTTGGTGGTTGGGAGTGAAAAGGGAAAAACGGGATTTATGGGGTGTAAAACTAGTTGTCAGTTAAACAATTAAGATAGCAAGAAGATGCTAGAGCCTGTGTCAGAGCTCTGGGGCAGGATCAGGTAGAAAGGATGGCGAAAGAAGCTCTTTGTTACAGAAACAAGGCAGACAAGGATAAGGCTTGCCAGCAGCTTGTGGAGCGTGGCAGGAAACCTCCCTTTTTTATGGTAAGGTTTATATACATACCTTCCAGGTGTGATGTTATTACTGAGAAGAGAAGGCTCAGTAGCTGCTGACTCTACAAGAGTATGGCCCATCTTGGACACTGTGCTGAGAGGAAGAAAGCTTTGTTAAGCACCGAGAGCTACAGAGGGCAGTCCTCCAAGAACTCCCATAATTTTCCAACGTCTTTGTTTATTGCTGCCTTGTAGGGTAAAGGCTCCCAGAGCCTCCTACGAGGGTATCACACAGGCCCTGCATGCACAATAGCTCAGCTTGCTCCCCGACTCCAAAACACGTTGCAAAAACACCTTGTGTCTCCAGTGTGCAAAAACTATAGCTCGGTGTTTGATCTCTGTGCTTCTGGGGGATATTTTGGTGGCGCTTTAGACCAGCGCTGCAGAGCTCCACGTCACAGAGCAGCCACACAGCACCTCGAGAGTGGGAATAGCTCTCGACCCTGCTTGGCTCAAGCTGAGCACGCAGCCACACAAGCAGCCACTGCTGCTCTGTCTCCTCGCAGGCACTGCCTTGCACCCGAGCACTCTCATCTTACACCTTCACCCCCTCGGGTGAGAGACAAGCACGGGTTACTCTGCCTGTTGGATGGTGTTTGCACGTTGCATGCTTTCACAACCAACAGAACCCCTGTTCTGCAACCGGGCATGTAACTTTTATTTCCAAATGCCCTTCAAAAATATACTTCGTACAGTTTTCTGAACCCTTTTACTTTGTGGGGACCCTCAGGAAGATCTGTCAGGCTTACTGTTGTAAGAGGAGGAGCCACTGATGACACTAGAGTATCACTCCCAGTCTGGATGAGTTTTATCCATAGTGATACGTGTGCCTGGGACATGAAATTCTAGTGTGTGTTTGTTTTCTGAATTTGAGCTCCGCTGCCTAGAGGAAAGTCCCTATAGATTTAGCCCATGTTTCCTTGTCTTTAGGCTGCAGCTAACAGAGGATAAAGCCTTAATATTGTGGAACAAGCAGAGCTGCCTTCTAGGATAGGAGTGGTTAATCCTAAAATCAAGATAAGTTTGATAATGACAGAAGTGGCCCAGTCTAACAATGCAGATTTTTACTTCAACATCTCCAAGGGGCTTTAGTTCCTATATATAGCATTTTTCATTTCATCTTTCCTGATAGGAAAAGATGATTCACTAAAGTAAAATGGAATAGAGAGTTCATCAGCATATTAAAGTTAATGGAATGAGTGAGCCCTGCTGACCAAGTTATTAACGGCTCTTGCAGTTCTTAGAGTCGTTCACTGCCCACCTGACATGTCAGCTATTTTCATGACAGAGCTATGGTATACAAGCAATAATTTATGCATTGCACTTAGTGGCTTCTACAAAGCCATTACCCAACCTCATTTTCCTGCTTGCCTTCCTGCCTACCATCAGTGGACATATGAAGTAAAAAAAGTGGATAAAATATAGATTTGCTCCGTGAGAACACAACTTCTGCAGAGTTAGGAGTGAGAGAATAAAGTCAGTGAGAAGGGCATAACAGTGGAGATGTGGAAACTTCCAAATTAAGGACATTTTAACCCTAACATGAAAACACTGAGAAGAACTTTTCTTAGATTTTGTAGATTTCTTAGATGTAGGCTAAGAAAATACCTAGACTCAGGGATGCATCTGATGATTTTGAAGCCAAATTCAGTGTCTAAAGTAACGTGGTAGGCAAGTTAAAACTACATAGAAGAAATCAGTTGCAACTTTAACTTGATGAAAAATTTCCTCCTTCCTCAGACGACCAGTTCCAAATCCTCACTGTCAATTAGACCACGAGCTCTTTAGCAACAAAACCAGTGTTTTAACAGGAAAGGATATAACTTGATCTTGTATTAAGGCCCCTTTACACAGCCAGAGTGACCCAGAGTTACATCAGTGTAAACAAGAATCGGATTTACTGCTGTACTAAGATTAGTGTAATTTACATGGTCCTCAGTGAGACTTTAAAAAGGGTGTTTGTTAAGAACAAATGATGTGGTGGGTTTTCAACGTTTCTGCAAGGAAATCCTACTCAAAGCATATTTATTGATTTAAATAATGCACAAGTGAATTAGTGCTTGCCTAAAATGGCATTTTGTATTAATTCGCCACCCTGCTCTCAGAAGTCTGCTCATTAGAAGCCCCATTTCTCATAAGAGAGAAGAATCACAGGCACTTAAGCTAACCACATAAACATTATCTGAGCTGGAGAAAGAGAATTAGCTGCACTACCATCATGCCAAATGTAGTAATGTCTGCAAGTCTGTATATCTTTCTCTGTTCCAGGACAAAAGTCCAAGAGATAATGTGATTAGAGATTCCCATATACTGTAAGCAGGCTTCCACAGCTGTTGGCGCATAGCACTTGTGGTTTGATACAATTGTCTGGGAAAACCATGCTTCTGAATAACTCACAAGAATTTTAAACATTGATGTTAGGGTCTTCTTACCGAGCAGATCCAACCCTTCCAACCTGATTGCTGCCTGATGCCAGAGGCTTATGCAGAGTAAAACCTGGATCTTCTGAGTGCTCAGAGGGTGGTGGATCAGCAGCTCCTGAACCGTCCCCTTGATGGGCAGATTTCTTCTGTTAATGTTAGAGCAGGTTATAAAACCAATTACACAGTTCAAAGGAAAATAGCTGCATCGATGCCTAATCAGCAGCTTATGATTATTGCTATAAGCATGCCAGAACTACTTTTGATTTAGAGGACCTCCTCAGAAACTTTTCTTCAGTTTATATCCATTGCAGGATGGAAAAAGAGCAAAAGTCAGTAAAAAGTGCAGTTTAATATGAAATCATAAGGGTGCACACAGTGTTGCTAGAGAACCCACAGCGCAGCAGCACCACTACCGCCAGGGCCAGCACAGTTGGTTTGTGTCTCTAACCCAAGTTTTATCTTGGGTTCAGTGCTCTAGCCCCTATTACTGAGGGATCTGACAGATTCACAGTCTCACCATAACCCTATGAGGGTTTTATATCAAAGGGAACTGGATGTCTAAATACTCTAAGAAAATCTGACTGTAAGACACCAAACCCCATGAGAAGCCTTTGGCAGGTTAGCACACGGCCTGTCAACTCCTGCGCCTGTGCTCTGGCTACAGTACCACCCTGTCTCTGTCAGTTTGCAACACTAAACCATCAAAGTTGAAAACATTTTTAACATATTAGTCCGCAAGGGGCCAACCTTCCCAATTCTTTCATCTGTACAATGAAATTTCCATATGCCTGAGACCCATCAGACTCCTATCAATAGGTTGGAGGTCTGAGGAAGTTTTTGAAGTAGTTTACAGTGAGAGATGAGAATAACTTACTAGGGGTCCCATCACTCCATGAGGAGATGTAGCTGGGTACCATGGCAGCCTGCTGATATTGGCCTCACCTATGTTTGTTTGCTTGCTTCCTTCAGCAGCCAAGGATGCTGAATACTGACAAGTCCCTTTTGCAGCCCAACCCTTGCTGTCAGCTGTGTGGCACAGTCTTGGCACGAAGCCACATGTGATTGGTGTTTCTATTTTTTCAGTTGCTTAAATCTCTTGAAGAAAAGTTACATACAAACAGGAAAGAAACTTAAGAGTTATAAGAGAGAATTCCTGCTTTGTCATTCTACCAGGAGAGACCGTCAGTAGGGCAGGCACTGGTGTCTCAAGCTAGCAACCATCTCAGACAATAAGAGAGAAGGAAGTGGAAGAGCAGATCTAAAATGATTACAAAGTGTGCTCCTCTAGCTAATTTCTTCTGTCTACCTGAAGTGTGAGTTGCCCAACCTCCTCTTCCAGATCTTCAAGCTTTGCTTCTCGTTCAGCCACCATCTGTCTGATCTGCTCTATAAGGCAGTTTTGTTTCTGAACCTCACTGTCCAAGTGCTGCCCCAACATCTTCTGGGACTCCTTGTTCTTCTTATCCTGCTGGCTCAGGTGCTTTAAGATCTCCTGCATTTGTTTCTGTTGGCTCTGAGAAAATAGAAACGAGTGAGATCTTCACTTTTGTACACAACAATTATTAAGACTCCCTGAGTGTCTTACACCCTCCAAAACAAATACCCACTTAGGCACGCTAGGACAAGCCACTGCCCTGCCAAACCCACTCCTTGGTGTAAGCACACTGATGTCACTAGTGCTACTCCAGGGATTTGATCCATTATGTTTTAAGAGTGAGATCACCTTGTCTCGTTCTCAGCATTTATCCAGTGAAAGAACTGCATAGCACATCTGTTTGCAATGCCCAGACACACGCTGCTGGGTATGGACAGCCTGTCCCCACTGGTCCCTGTGCGTCGTCTCAAGACTTTAGTGACTGGATGGTGCAAGTAGAAAAGACCTGGGCAACTGAGAGATTCAGTTTGCTGGCAGATTTGTTCCTGAGTGTAGCAGAAAAGAAGGCAAAAAAAAGTCTGGCCTTTGACAAAGAAGGTGACTTTCTCATAAATTGCATAAAAGTAAAGATTTCAATTTGCTTTTGTGTGCAATTAGAACATGATTAGATCATGTGATACTGACACTAGAAGATGAGGGTTGTATGAGACAAAAGCTATGAGGCTAGGCTGTTTTACCAGTGCGTCTTGGAGTTTTGTTCACATTGACAAATCTAATATTTGTTGGACAGTTTGTTCTGTCGAGCCAACAAGCTGCAAGCAAGGTGTTTCTTTGATGGAAGGGATAAAACCAGTTAACCACTCCTTCCCAAGTAGACGCACATCTTTCTGTAAGAGTTTTAGTGAGAATGCTCAGACTTAGCAAAGTGACAACTGTTATTTAGCTCCTTTCTGATCTACTTAATCTGCTGGTCAGTACTCATACTCCCCACGGCTGCCTGGTGTGCAGAAAGGTGAATGCCAGCTTAGTCATAAGCATGTCTTAGCTAAAACCTACGTAATGTAAGTGATTTGAAACTTGTGAGGAGCTGGATCAGGAAACACAGAACTAACCCTACTAAGAAGTGGCATATCTTCTAATTTTTTTTTTTTTTTTCCATTATGTAATTGGGGAAGGCTATTTAGAACCATGGCAGGACAAAAGGATCCTGCAAGACCATGACAGCAGCCATTTATTTCAGCATAACTGCATCTCGAGTCTCTGCTAATGCTCTTGAAGTGGCCAAACCCTCTCAGTTCCAGCAACTTCAAGTGAATGTGCACATGGTTTAGTACTCACAGTCCAGCTTGTGTGTTTTGGACTGTGTAACACAACAAATCAAAGTGCAAGATTGCAGGCATTCTAAGGAAAAAAAATCTACCAATGGAGCTGAAAGCAGAACACAGTCCAGCCTTGTGGGGCAGGAATGAAGACCTTCCTCTACCTACCAGGCGATCCTATTTCAATCCTGCAAAACGTTTCTTCCAGTATTTGCAGCTTAGAGCCACTTGACTGCAACTGTGTCACGGCTGGTGCTGTCTCGCAGCCTTTACATGATCTGATCCAAAACGAACGGATTTAGCTGACTAGGAAACCTCTGGCTGTCACAGTTTGATTCATCAGGCCCGTGTATACCCTAAGGTTGTCTGTGTCATCGTCTAATTAAATGACATCATGTTTCATCACTTATAGAAAGAGGGCTGATCTGCAGGAGCTCGGACCAACAGTCAGACTGTACCAGTAAGGCGTCTATGAGCTCATCGTCGTGTTTTCCTTTCTCCAGCAAGGTTATGATCTGTTCCTTCAGGGTTTTCACTTCGCTGCACAATATTTTGTTCCTGGATTTTGATGCATCAAGTTTTTTTTTCACTTCCTCGTGACTTTTTTGGAGAGCGTTATATTCCCCAGTGAGTTTCTGCAGTGAGGCAAACACATCATAGGAAATGACAGTTACAGCCTATCACCAAGCCCCGGGTGCTTTGGTAAACTAAAGAAATCACGCATTGTCTGGTAGAATCTAAAAAATGGAACTTGCGTACTACATCATCCCTAAATAACTAGAAATTATAAATGCTACCACTCAATGCCTGCTTGCCAGCATCAAAAAAAGGTCTGCCTGCTGAGGAATACACATGGACTAGGTTGATTCAGTAAATGCCAGGAGGCAAATGATAATTTTGTGTTAAAACCTATTTCTCTATGCTCCTGCTTTTTCATTTACCTCACCATTCTCCACGGGGAAACTCTCCTCCTTCCAGATACAGGGTGGTGATGCTACACGCTTTGCTAGAAGCTATCCTTGGCATACGCTGCCCCTTGAGCCATGCCCTCACCTAGATGAAACTGGCCTGGGAGCATGCAGGCAGTTAAGCAGTAATGGACAAGTACAGGGGAAATTATTGTGAAAGGAGCCTGAAACACGAAGGCAGAAGTGGAACCATGCAGATTACAGTTATTGAGGAAAGCTCTCCCTGTGCTGCGTGCCCGTAGCTAGAAATTTTCCCTTTCATTCTCATGGCCAAGAGTGAAAGGTATCACCCCATTGCTCAGTCTGTTGCACGATTAAATTGTGGTGAGAAAAACAGCAGCTAATCAAGCTCTGGGATGGTGCCAGGTGGCCTCTACAGAAGGAAATACAGGGAAGGAGCACAGGGAGAAGTGCTTTGCTGACCTGAATATGTGTAGCTGATCCTCACTGCTCATGTTGCTCACAGACACGGGCCTACGTATCCTTTCCACCTTGGGGTTTACTACATGTGCCAGTAGCTCTAGCCTCTCTCAACCCCTAAACACTGGATCCCTGTTTATTTTTGTAGCAACCACATGTGATAGACAGATGGATAGATGGAGGGTAAGACCCATTTTCAGAATGCCTCTTAAGAGGGTGTCTGATGTCATTCTCAGCTTTATTCTGTTCAAATGTAGAAGCCCATAGCCATACAGATATACGAGGTGTGAAGGGGATGCTTATATTTAACACTGCATGAAGAATGCAGAGGATGCAGCTGTAGCAGGGCTTCTTTCTGCATGTGCCTTCAGTACGAAGCTAGTACCAGCTGCATGGTAAGCCAGGGCCCCCCTCCCTCTTTCTAACATCACACAGTTGTCAAGTGGCCACATTTCAGGTCAAGTGGGTGCATCCGACACATGAATCATGCAGCAGAGGAGAAGACCAAATCTTGTACTGCAGAAGTATGTGTGGCCATGCAAGAGTGCAATACACACAACAAGTGGGGAAGCCTTTTGCTCCGTCTGTGAAGTGTGGCAGAACTTCCTCCAGCAGTTCAGGTGGGTTTCTGATACACACTGAAGGTAAGGCAAGTTTTTACACACTGTATACCCAAAGAGTGCTCTGCCAGCTCACAGATTTTTACCTCCAAGGTTTCCTTCTTTTCTTTTTCCAAGCTGCGAATCTTCAACACGTTCTTCTCTTGGGCTGACAACTTCCTTGGATCACTAAGTGCCAGCAGTTCCTCATCAATCTCACTCAGTGATGTTCTGGTCTTGTTTTGGCTCAATTGATTCTCCAGCTCTCGAACCTAGGGGACAATAGTGACAACTCATCCAGAGCCTTTACCAGGAGTGCAGTGGTCCAGCATCAAAGGGCACATAACCAAAGGGAGCTCAGAGTGCAGCATCATATTACCTCTTGACATCATTGTGGCTAACTAACAGAGCAGTGTCTGTTCTTTCAAATTTAAATTTGTTAGCTGCTAACAAACATGATATCTAGGGCATCTGTGCAGGGAGGAGATATGATACCAGACCTACAGGAGCCTCAGGACACATGGGAGATGTGTGCTTTACTGAAGTCACATGTGGAGGCCAGGCAGACACTCCAAAGCATCTTGAATGCCACTAGACACACTTGTGGGCAACAGAATAATACGTTAGGTCTCCTCTGAAAGTGCAGACACCCACTCACCCGTATACATTTATGTATCTCAGTCTTTAGCAGAATCATCATCTAGGATGTCCACAATCAAAGGCAGCCTGAACGTAGGTACCCAGCACTGTTTTAGATGCCCTGGGATACTGGGGACACATATGACACAGGATCTACAAGACATCCCTACTCCTCTGGAGAGCTGACCAGAGGTCAGAGGGACACCCTACGGCATCTCAGCTGGCACCGATGTGTCATCCAGTGAACTCAGCCCTTGCATCTCAGCTATTCACTAGACTTCTCTCATAGTCAGCAGAAGGAAATAGGCACTGCTACAGCACAGTTCCTCTGCCCTGTTCTGGAGGTGTCTTCTAAGATGCATCTGCTTTGCTTTTGATCCATTTACAAGATCCTCACTGACTACAGAAGGGGCCTGAGGAGACTGGCTCAGGGAGATGTTTCTACATTACAATAGAGTAGAGTATGTAAAGTCTTCAGATGAATTCCAGCCAGGGGGTGTAACAGAAGGAAAATTTAATTTTCTCCAGGGAAAGTAAAGGTTAATAATTTCAGTCAGTCAGAGTGCAAAAATCACAGTTTGTTGGCATATAATTAAACAGGAGAAAATTAGGAAAAATATGTATCAATTTGCCTGAGTTTTATTTAAGATACACATAAAACTGCCTCCTTGTCTCGAGCTGACGTTTCAGCTAGACTGTGCCCCTCAGAAGATTCAAGAGTTAAAGATTTTACGGAAGTTCCTGGGGGAACAACTTGAAAATCTTATCTGGCCTCAATTCTTCCCATCTGACTTTAGGCACTGAACAAAGGTGTCTAAGTCAGAGCACAGACACTGACAGGGCTCCTTCTGTACTCAGTGGAGACAGGCACCTTCAAAACATCCTGGGATTTTAACTAGGCTGCCATAGCTCTCCAAGGTCACTGAACTCTTTTCTTTGACACAGATGTGGAAGATTCCCAGCTAAAATACTGAAGTTTGCATGTTTGCAGTAGATTAAGTAATATAGTTTGCAGGAGTTCTGAAAGGTCCTGCATGCATCAACACATATTTAAAATTTAACACACACACACACACACACACACCCAAACATACCAAAAAACTATTACAAAAGTTATCACAAAGTGCTTTACTCTAACAGTTCCTTTCTCCAACAAAGAAAAGACTGGCCATGTATTCACAGTAAACACTGTTTGTACCGGGACACACATAAGCAGGTACAGATGTTAAGAATTACTTAATGAAAAACTAACAGTATCTTTAACTCAAACTGAGGTAACACCATTACATAGAAAGAGCAACCCAGCACCCAGCTTAGATGGCACCGTTCAGGGTCTCAACTCACCTTGCTTTGGAGAACAAGAATTTGCTGGGCTCGTCCACGCCAGCTGCCAGAATTGGTCAAGAGACTTTGAATATTCACATCTTCACCAACTTCATTTGCTAAAAGCTATGAAAAAGGGATTAACATCAACAATAAGGGTAAGTTTAAATACGTGTGTTGGGGAGAGGGGAGGAAAAGCTGCTCTCTCCAGCAGTAAACGCAAAACACTGTACCTATACACAGTGGCTTTTATCTGATGTTCTGTATCCCATGTGATGTAAGCTCCTTCAGATCATTATTACAACACAAATTGTTCATGAATAGGTGAAGTTTGGCTAAAACGAATGGTTTTACTTGTTGAGGTAGGTAATTCAGTATTTTGCTATGTTTGAGTATTATTCTTTGCTTTTTAAAAAATGTGAATCTGTGTTTTGCTGCCTACGGAGAGTGTCAAATTGTACTATCTAGCTGTATAGCTGGGTGTCAAACTGTGCTACTTTTGTAAAAAGAGCATTTCAAATTCATCACCAAGGTTTACTAAGCATTACTAACAGTTTTCACTATATACAATTACTTTTGTTATAATGAATACTTAACTGGAACTAAACAGGAATAGAGATATTGTCTTAATACACAACCTTGCAATCAGGAATTGAGCCAATCTCTCTTGCATAATTCCAAGACAGCCACATTAATGAGGGCTAAAGTTAGTATGAAAAGCATTTAAATTATTTATAAAAAGGTCAGCAGAGTTCTATTTTTAGGACCATATTCTCTACTCTGATCTGCATTGCAGGTCTCTTACGCAAAGTAATGAAACCAAAGGAAACAGAGCACATAGTAACGCATTAAAATCCATCATGAATCAAAGAAGAAAAGGTTACTCTGGATGTCACTCCAACAAATTGTTTAAATATGTGCTTTAGTTCAAGAGTGGTCTTTAATCCCATTGACTTCCATGGGACTGAAGCCTACATTAAAAGTAAACACATAATTAAATGTTTTGGAAGGGAGGAATGGGCCGGAATGTACGCCTCAGATCAATCACAAACCTATTTTGCTGAACTGGGACTTTCAAACCTTAAAGGATCTGTACCCGTCAAACCAACAGAAATAGTGGATACACTCATCCAGCTGTGTTGGCAAAGCATGTGCACATCTTCCCAGAGCGACCACTACACCCGTGTCTTTTCTTACCTCCTTACAGGTCACTGGAATACTTCGTGGAGGCTAATCAAAGCTCAAAAGAAAAGCAGCCTCCTGATTTCACAAGAATATACTTCTTGCACAGGATCCCAGCCACTGACTGCGTCCTGCAACACTACCTTTTGGGTCATCTTCAGTTCCTGTTTTGCAGATTGGAGTTGGTTACGATACTCCATCACTTTAAAGTTGGCCGTGGTTAATTTTTCTTGCAATGCTTTCACCTTTGGACTTTCATCCTTTGAAGAGAAGAATGTATTTGGTAAGAATGGAATCCTCAGGGAAAAACTGAAGTGATTAAGATCCACAGATCCATCAGGATCACAGGATCTTTTTTTATGCAGAACCATGCAAATGCCTTCCCTAATTTTTGGGGCCATAGAGAAAGTACAAACAGAGCAATCTGGTCACAAAACTAGTGACAGGGATACATCCTTGTCATAACGAAAGGGCTGCACAATAGGAGAGAACTATCAGCTTCTGATTTCCCCCTCTTCAATTACAATTCGTACCAAGTTTCCTTCTATCATCTTCAGAGTTGATTGCTTGATTCCTGCATCACCACCACCAAGAGAATGTATTTTTTCTACAGCTGTCTGTAGCTGGAAAACAAATCACTGTTATTATAGAATGAATACAGTGAAGAGCATACCTCCATGTATTATTAATTAGCAAAAAAGTACAAAAGCAGTTTCAATGATCCTGGATGTTTATTTACTCTAGGAAAAATGTACTTAATTTTCTCTTGTTTTTTAAACACAATCAATAGGAAAGCATAATTTTTTTTTTCCTGAAATGCTTCCCAAAGAATCATGTGTTATTTTACTGTGAAATAACCTCAGTGAAAATGCCTCTGGACTTGCTGAGATGGGATCAGTTATCAAGCATGGAGACTTCTTGGGGATTTTATCACCATAGGTTCATAAAATAAGTGTTTGTATGCAAATCCATTATAGTACAGATCAGGATGTTGACTCTAGATTCTGGATGCCACTTTTGAAGAAAATCACAGAATATTTCATAAAAAGCACATAGTTCTACGCACCAGAGGAACTGAAAAGGAGAAATTACTACCTAATGACCTACAGTGGAGAATTAGTAAGACTTTTTCTTTAGCTGGTAGCTCTAAGGTAGCATTTCTCAACCCATGAAGAATGTCTCCTATTGCTTGCCACAGCAAAGGAAGGCAGAGATACTCCTGCTCTGAATTGTGTCCTATGTTGAGGTTGCAAAGACTTCTCACTGGATGGGAGTGGAGTGAATTTGGAGCCAGAAAGGCCAGGAAGTGTTGCTTTAAAGGGCTGAGAGTTTATTCTTTGAGTTGGGTGGAAAATCTTGATTATTTGCTTGAACAAAAGAAGGCTCTAAGGAATAGCTTCTTCATGAAAGAGACATCTGGGGAAACAGAGGGCAACTGAGAGACAGCTCTAATATTACCCCTTCTTTGCAAGTAAGTCAATGGTTAGGCCACCCCTTCCATCCAGTTCATAAACTCTTCTAGTCAATGGACTGAGAATGAGAAATTTCAGCTGGTGTTGGCAGCTGCTAGGTCAAATTCTAAGGAAATTTTCTGCAAACATTCATTTGCAGTCTTTGTTTATACGTACCACCCTTTGCTAAGTGATTGCTCAATGGCCACACCTTCCATTTTGTTTTCTGGGAACACAGTCACAATAAACCACTTATGATTTACATATTTTTCAGTTTTCATACAAGCAAAGAGATAACAATTCTGCAAAATAAGTGTTTTGCACTGGTGAAAGTACATATTGTGATGCATTTGCAAGGCACCATCACCACAATTAATTCTGCAGAGTTTAAGGCATCTAAAGGTAGGCATATGGGGTGAGACTCAACTCACAAATTAACATGTTCTTTGTTTTCAGTGTGTGTGTCTCTATAAAGAATGGCATCTCATCAGTGCAATCAGGAGGGTAGAGTCTTCAGCTCACTCTACAGTAGACACCTACGTTACATCAAGCCGTAGGACTGGCTGGGGACTTGCTTTTGTTGCCCACCCACAGCTGTCTAGTCCCTTTTGAGGCATCCGAGGGTACCCAGCAGGCCTTCAGCTCTGCACCAGCACTGCTAGCCCTGTCATGTCCAACAGCCCTGCAGGGATGTTGGAGAGAGGTCAAGTGACATCTCAGACTTTACTTCCACGCTTACGTACGGTCAATTGAATTGCCCTTCAGTTGTCTTGGTTCTTTCTAAAACCAACAGAAAAAGATGAGTGTGTCTAAGAAGTGATCCAGCTTAGCTTAAGAGTTACTAAAGAGACGCGAATCACTGCAGGTTCCTGTCTGTGACAGCTCTTCTCTTTCATCACTCAACAGTTTTCATGGATCCTTCCCATTATCAAACACTGCTTTAATTTTACCCATCTTTTGCATCTTCATATAGTTCTACTGAACAAGTACAAGCCACAAACTCAGCCAGTGACCATTAGTTTAGAGAAGAGCCACCCCCAATGAGGTTGTGAGAAAATACAGACCGTTGACTAGGGCATGGTTTCAGTGGGGTTCACACTGTGGTTCATCTTTACCTCAGATGAGACAGGTTGCTGTGTTTGGTTTTGATTTTGATGGTTCTGGTGTCTAAGGACAGATCAGTTCATATCTGAAGTGTCCATCTCTGCTCTGACCAGCAATTATTGATTCTTGAAAATTTCTTTTCGCTTTGAGTTTGATTTCCTTTCCTGAAATGTCTGTGGTCCTTTCTTTTGGGTCAATATCTGACAATATTTTAAGTTTCTGTTTGAATAGTGGTCCTTATGCCTCTGCAATAGGGGGTTGCAAACAAGCTGATTTTTCTTGAAATTATTCACAGCCTGCTTCTCTCCTTGTGTGATTTTGTATGTCTCCAGCTACACCTGGTATTTCTTAGACAGCCTGCCAACTGTTTGATAAGACCCCTTTGACCAGAATGCCCTGGATTTATGCAGGAGTTCTCAAAAATTTAGCCTACCATTTCTTATCTTCCAGGTAACTAGGGTATAATTCAGATAGATGCACGATTCATGATAATAAGTGATTGTGAAAGATAGAGTCAAAACGCATTTGTCAGCATGATAAACATTACTGAAACATTTAAATGATGTCTTCTAAGGAAGCAAAGTACGGAAAAAAGCATTAAAAATTATCCAAAATTTTACCACTGTTGTGTAAGGAAGAGCAGTAGTAGCTGATGAACAAAGTAAACATTGACATCAGGGCATCTAATTTTCATTTCAGCAGCCACCTGAGTAAAATTATTCCTGTGAAAGGTTAGCACATATGAAAAATTCATACTAAACCAGAAAAATTAATTTGCCTGAGTGAGTATTTGCTATCTTATGTGATATAGTTTGTTACTGTCTCAACTCTGAAAGTACTTATGCCAGAAACCAGCTTTCATTATGCGGATGAATAAAGCTAAGAAGAATAGAGTACTAATTCATGACTGGTATTAACAATGTGGGAATATAAGACATAATGGTCTTCACAAAAAAATAAATAAATTCAGAAAAATACCATTGTCATACTGCTAGAAAAGCCTCTGTGCTTCAAATATAACCGAAGATTCCTATTTGGTATTTTATAAGTCTTTGTCTCCTTATAACTTATGGATATCCTTTCCTAGCTCCTCCTTTCTGCAAAGGTGAAAACAGCTGAGGGCACACACCCCTCTCTCCTGTCACGGACAGAAATTACAAGAACTCAAAGCAAGCACGGATGTAAGAGCAAATTCAAAATGGAAACACAAATCAAACCCAGCTCCTCTATCCCAATGGCTGCATTTCTATGTTTAGCATGCAAAAAGAGAACAAGAAAAATGCCTCACTTCTCTCTCCAGCTCTTTGACTCTGTTATTCAGTTGCTTCACTTTGGCTTTTTCTCTCTCAGTCTCGGCAGTTATCTCACGATTCTTTTTGGCCAATTCAACTATTTTAGTAGCTGCAACATCTCCAGCTAAACCAGATGCCCCTGAAAAGTGTACATAAAAGCAAAGGACATATCTTACAGGCAAGACTCAGAATAGATGATGCTTTTGTTCTCTGTCCAGTGCACAATGTACTTTTACTGTCTAATCCATTTCTCTCAGAGCTGTGCCAGGCACTTAAATGAACAAGTGAGGGAAAAGAGGCGTCAGTGATTCCAGCTGGATTGCTTGGTCCTTGGAGTCAGCATCACATGGTGGCTAGCAAAGCTACATTTCACAGTTTAGCAACACTCACGTGTCAGAAGGCCACAGCAGTGGTCATAGCAACTTCACTACATAGAAAAGGGAGAGGTGTTTTATGCTCACCTCTGTGAAGGACAGTTATGAACATGTTTTTGTGGCATATTACAGAAAAAGACAATATTCTATTCTGTGCTGGTTGTTTACTACTGGAGGAGCTGCTGAAACAGAGGTGTGAACTTTTCTAGACATCTGTCCTAAAAGGTCAAGCACACCGTTAGAGTTGGGTTCTGGACAATGCCCAGGAAATTTCATTGTGCCTATTTATATGTCCCTTAAGATTATACATGGAGCCTTACCGTATTACTCTTTTATTTGCTCTTTTAAACAGATACTTCATTCACCTCCTCATCAGAGGGGGTTTGATTAATATCACAAATAACGTAATCCCCAGGACTGGCTTGTGTGTCACTTGGCTTTTGTTAACACCACATAGGTGAAGAAAAGTTCTCGCACCAAGTGCAAAATCAGTATGATTGCATACAATGTCCACAGAAACCTCTAGCTCAGCAATGAATACAAGCCTGCACTAACAAATCCTTGGTGGGACATACGAAGATGGAACTCGGCTGCTGTCATTCTTAACCCTTTCATCCTCCTTTGGTGCTCTGAAGCAATGACTTTTCTACCAACATCCATGAAGATTATATTCAAGAACCAGGGTGAGATGCAAAGATGACAGATCACTCTTAAGTGAATTCTGAGTCCCATAAAGCTCATAGAAACATTAAAGGGGCTATGCAGAATATAGCTGAGAACAGAATATGACCCTATATCATTATTTAAAAACCTTGTAGAGGACATAAATTTATTATTTTTAAAAGCATTTCCACTGTTCTTACTCCTTGATCCGATTTGTGTTTCCTCTCATCTAGAAGCTACTTTTTCCTTAGTTGTCATGATAAATAATGGCTTCTAAGGATCACAGTCAGTACTAACCTAACCAAAAGCCAGGCTAACACTTTCATGTGATGGTCTTCAAATGCATTGTACACATTTAATCAAAGCTTTTAATTCCCACGCAACGTGGGTGAGTCTCTTGCCACAATCTAGATAGGGAAGACAGAGGCTTGGGGCAAACTGCCACAAGCTGGCATATGGAGTCAGCCATAGAAGCTGCAACAGCACATCTGGCTCCTGGTTGTGACGCAGTAATAGCTTATCATCTCTCCTACCAACAAGCTACAGATAGTTTTTAAGAATTAAGGTGTAATTTAAGTGTTATTTAGTTCTGCTTATTACCTGTTTCCCTGTTCTCTACTAGCCTGGTCACCACTGCTGTCCTGAACAACAGTGGCACCCAGTGGAGGAGGCGCAGTCTGCACGGTTCAGTTTTCAAAGGACGCCCAAGCCACTTTAGAAGCTGGACTTTGCATTCAGCCAGCATCCTGCATGTGCCCTATTCAGGCAAATAAAAGGAGCCCGAATAAGGAATTTAACACTACATAGAAGAGGAAGCTGCAACTCTGCTCTTTGACATTAACAGAAAGTTTTCCAAAATATGATTTCTATGAATTATCATTTTTTTGGGTCACTAATAGCAAGCTTGCAGAAGAGCTGTGAGGAACAGAGATCACTGGGTACCCCACAAGAGCACTATACTTCTTTTAAGGGACATATTATTACCAGTAACAATATTTTACACCTTAGGTCTGACCTGTCTGACTACCAGAAGTCATTCGGACCTTTCAGTAGCTCTCTAAGACAGGGAGTAGTAGTTAGTATTCGTATTTTGCTGCTTGTGAAAATGAAGGAGAGGGTAAGACACGGATCTTTAAGCATACATGCCATTCCACATGTGAGTGCTATCATGTCAAACCACTGTGAAGGATGTCCCTCTGCAAATAAAGCAATGAGACTCCTTACAGGGGAGAGACATCGAGGTGTAGTGTTCTCTGAAATGCAAAACAGCGTCAACTTAGACCCTTGCAAGTTTAGGTAGCACCTCTAAGTGTTGACTAAATCTATACCCAGGTGTCTAAGTATTTTCAAAGTTCAGAGCCAAGTGGTTTCAGTGTTACTGCAGATACTGCAAGCTCAGCAGAGAACAAGTCTCTCTCAGTTGAGAGCAGAATTTTGATTCTTCCTAGCAGAAGCTTATTACAGGAGTGGAAAAGGAAGCAACCACAGTATGACCAAAATACTCCTTTTTAGCATGAAGCAGGTAAAGAGATATCACATGAATATTTCACTCCCAGGAGCTCACAATGAATCTGTTATCCCACCTCTACTGTCATCAGCATCAAGCACACATTGGAACCAACAGTGAGAATACAAAGTTACTGTGTTTACCTGACAAAGCCAATCTGTCCTCCTGTATTTTTTTCTGGAGTTGCTTTATTTCAAAATCTTTCTCTGTTACCAGTTTGTATAGTCTGCAGTTCTCATCTCGGACCTCTCGAAGCTGATCCTGGAGCTGCTCGTTCTCAACCTCAAGCAACCTGGGAAAAAATAAGCCATAATGGCAAATGTCACTGCAAGGTGCTTCAAATAGACGCTTCCAGAAATAAAATAATGAAATGACTGTATGCTAGATGAGCTGGGCTTACCAGGAGTGAGTTTACTGAAGTAGAATATCCTAAACCTCAGGTCAGAACACAAGCTGATGAGCTGATCTATTCAGCTAACTTATTACTTAAAAAAATCTGCACTTCCTTGTGTTGTCTGAGGCAAAACATCACAGAGCAGGTATCTTTGCAGTGCTCTCGAGGTTACTGAATAGTGTCATCTCACTCAGTCTTACTTATCTGGCTCTCCAGAGGGAACCAGGTTGGCTCACCATTCAGCATCTGTGACATTCAGGCTTTACTTTCTATACTTACTGAAGCTAAAGGAAGCCAACAGAGCGTCAGCTACAAAAGCTGCTACTGAAGTTCTTTCTCTAAAATGAATGCTTCATAGCAATTCACAAAAGACCAATTTCCTGTGTCCTCATCTGATTTTCTTGGAACCCCACCAGGATGGACTGCCATCAGTTTGTATTGTTAATGTTGCTTTTTGGAACTCATTTAGAAACAAAGAATATTAAAAAAGCTCTCCGAACGCAAGGAAATAGCCTTGCTTCTCCTATTCTTCAGTACATTTAGTAACATTTATGGGTTTCATCTCTCTAAGACATTCAGAGAATTAATAACTTTAATCTCTTTGCTGTCCTTGAATGGTTCCTCCAAGTGTGAAAACTAGAAGCTAAGGCCTCAGGGGCTCAATTCAATTGTGGGCACTCAGGCATCTTGAGATGCCCCAGGATTATCTGAGCTCCCTACGTGAGGCCAGCAGCCACAGCGCAGCGTTCTTGGGAAAACTTCTGGGGCCCGGTGAGAGAATCCGGAGCATCTCAGAGAGCACCTGCCACATGTGCGTGGACATCTGAGCCAACCCCAAGAATACATTCTCCAACTTCAGGCATAACTTTTAGCCAGATTCCTCCAGACAGCAGCTGCCTACAGACCAGCTGCTACCGTAGGGCGATGCGAATCGCTCTCTAACTGCCACTAAGTGCGCTGATGAGGGGACTCAATTCAGTTACCCATGCATAGGTGCCATCTGGGGCTCCCCACCCGCCCCCCAGGTGCTGCTGCTGAAGGGTGCAGGTCTCCTGTGTTCTATCATTCCCATGTGGAAGTTCTCAATACCCTAAGGCATCTCAGATATCGTTAGACAGCTAAGCCAGACAGATGAATTGACCCCTAGATTCTTATTATCTACAGTGTGACCTTGAATGTCTACATTTTGGTGACTTAATCTGGAACAGTGTCCCACCCCTTTGGCCTATAGAGTGATTGTTCCAGACTACAACAGAAGTAGGTAGCTTGGATGATCACAGAGATTTGAATAAAGCCCAGTTGTTACAGCATATACCTGTGGCTATAGACATATCCACAGCCAGGCAAGTCAGCTATCTCAGTAGTCACCCAAATCTTTCCTATTTGAAAGCTTTAGCAAGCTTTTTGCTCCAACTGGACTTTGGAGCTTTTAAATGCACAGTCCATATGTACATGTCAGAATAAATAAACAACACGGTCAATTTATGATACAATTCACAATCCATAATTAAGAAATGCACTTCTGTTTCAAAGCTGCAAATCAAAGGGAGATCAAAGGCTGCTGATTACAAAGGAGAAGAAAGCAAGCAGCAATCTGAGCAGAGAAAAGGCAAAACTAAGTTATTCCCACATGTACCACTCATAGAAGTGAGCAACAAAACTGTGCAGATCTAATTAGAGACACATGAACAAAAAGATTTTTATCAGTTAGGGAATTAACATGAAAAAAAGGTTCCAAGCTCTTAACACACCTGATCCAGCAATGTCTTCCTCAGAGCTGGCTTCCAAGTCTTGACAAAAAGCATTTACAGTAGGACGGACAGAAGTCCAGTCTGCACAGAGCTGGAGTCTCCTCTGAGAAACTTTTCCATCCCATCCCACCCCACCCCATCCCACCTCAGAGTGACTCTACATGTTACAAAGGAGGTAGCAGGTTCCACCCAAGAGGCTCAGCTATGGAAAGTCAGCCAAAAGAAACAGGCTGCAGAAAGGTAACCCTTTTCCCTCTAGTTCAAGAAAACAAAGCCAGGTGAAGTTTATGGGCAGGGCTTATGACTGAAATTTGGGCAAGTGTCTTTCCCAACTCTGTTACAGATTCTCCACCTAATGGGGAGAATCACTTAAATACACCAAAGCAGGGAGAATAAAGTTACAGAAGAAACAAAACAAAAAGACAGAAATGTCAGCTAAACACTCGCCTAAACAAAATTCGGGGGTAGGATGGGAAGAAGGAAAAATGAACTCCCAGGGCTCAGCGGAAGGGAGACTTTCTAAGAGAATGTTTTTCAAGCGCTGCTATAAACAACACTGACGTGCTGAAATCACTGCCACTGCAGACCATATGGAGTCCTGTTATTCTGGAACAAGTTTCTAACATGTTGTCATGGGAATACTGCAAAGTACATCCTAGTGAATCCCTTGCAGAAGTAAATCCTGCCTGGATTTGATACACGCATAACCACTCTTTTGCAGAACACAGACGTACATAAGCAAAGAGCAATCCAGATAAATCTGCTACCTGCCATGTCAAATGGCAACTTTTCACAGTCATTGCCACTGAAAATGGAGGTAATAGCTCTTGAATTACTCAGACCTGAACTACTGAACCGTAAATATCAGAGAACTGCTGGGACTCTCCTGTACTCTGCACCTCAGAGTATGCACACTGCACCACGATGTGCTACAGGAGCGCCTAAGCCCCTCTCCTCCACCAGACATATCCACATCTGAACTGTGGAAATCAGTCTCCCTCTCTGATGGAAAAAAAAAAAAAAAAAAAAAATCAGATCTCCATAGCAATCTATATAGTAATCAGATCAAAATGTTGAAGGGAAGAGGACAGCTGGTAGAGGTCAGATCTGAAGCATAACTTGGTAAAACAGACAGCCATGGTGAGGGACCTCTGTGTGAAGAAGACAATGTGTGATGCAATGGTGACAGCATTTGGTTCTAGAAGGTCAGCTCCCTGTTCCCACACAGACTTCCTTTGCAGCATGAACACCATATTCTCAGAAGCCCCTGAAAGGTTCAGTGGTTCACTCCTGGATTCCCTGCATCTTCACAGAAGCTCTGCTGCAGCTTACACGCTCGGGCGTTTAAGGAAGCAATCTTCAGAGAGAAGCTGAGCAGGGAGCTCCCCAGAGTAACACAGAGGGAAGATCAGCATTTACAGCCTAATAAACCCTTGTTAGTGGCTTGATAAACTTTGGTAGAGGTGCCTTTCCCCACGACAGATTCTGGGAGGGGAAACTGTCTCAAAGGTATATACCTAACTGTGGTTTTCCACCCGTAATCTGCTGGTTTTGGCAGAGCTGCCAGCTTCTCCTTCCTGCCCCTGTATCACTGTACATAACCCCATTACAGTGCCAATAAAACAGTCTGTGGGGCAGAAGCTGTAAATTAGATCACTGAAATGACTTGAGATAAAAGTACCCTTGACCCAGAAAGTGAATCCAGTTTCCAGCAAATGGCTGTATCGGCACAGTTGCAAGTAGGGAGCAGAAGTAGGAATTTCTTCAGCTGGCTTCACCACTAACACAGAGCAAATCCCTGAACAGCCAACACTGCAGACATCTCTAGGATGTGTCCAACTTCAGACCTGCACTAGTTTGTAAAAAAATATTAATTGGGTCAGAAAGAGACTGACACTATCAGAGGAGGAAGATGAATGATCTGATTTGGGGTTTCAAATCTCTGCTCCAGTAAAATAAATTATGCACTCAGTTCCAAAAACAAGATCAAGGGAGATTCACACCAGGATGTAATGGTAATCACCAGAATGGTAATCCTGATACTACCCCAAAGGATGAGGTAAGACCCAAACACCTTCCCCAGTAAGATTTAAAACCCTACCTTGTATAACCCTGTTGAGTATCTTAACCTGGAGGCAACTTTGTCTATGAGACCCTCCTATACAGCTGGCTGTCTTCTGATCTACTAAATCATGTTATATTGAAAAGATAGCCAGGGGAATACTTTTCTACACCTCAGGCCTTTGGCTTGCACCCATTAATTGCTTTGCCCTCATCTGTCTTTGGAAACTACTCATGTAGGGAACCTGTTTGTTTACAAGGCTTGGAAGGAACTAACCAACAGTTCAGCGGATGTTAATGATCGCGAATGACTGGATTTTGTCAAATAGTACCTAGCTGCCCCTAGCATGTCACCCTTAATCCCTCTGTTCTTCCGCTCTTCATGTGAAACACTGATAATAAAAAGCACATCACAATGCCCTGAGGATAAACATGTTAGGGACAGCGAGAGCCTTCTCAGGATAATGAAAGCCCAATATGTGAAGACAGGAAGTGCTCTGTCAACTTAATATGAGTTTCATAGGATCATATGCAAAATATACTTCTGTGACTTCCCGAAGGAATGGTGCTGCTACACCTTTACCTTTTGCTGTCATCTTCATTTACAGGTTGTCCTGTTTCAAACAGGTTTAGATCATTCAGGATTCCAAAAGTCTCCTTGGCATTGCCATTATCATCCTTCTGACTGTTCTGCTTTTCCTTCTTCCTCTCCATTAGATATTGCAGCTGCTTTTGTTGTTGTTCTTGATAAGCCTTAAACTGGCATTTAAACTCCTCATTCACTTTTATGTCTGACTCCATTGTTTACTAAAAGCATAACAAGAAAATGAAAGGCAACAGAGAGCAGAGATCAACATCGCTTTGAAAAACATCCTCATCTAGCAGCTGCTTTGCAGTTTTTCCTCACTGACCTCTGCACAGTTTCCCTGCCACCTCCTCTCAGCCACTGTGCTCTTCAGTCCCACTGCCTTGCTTCAAGCACCTTTTTCCATAAACAGCTATCAAACAGTCCTCAAAAAAGTTTTTGGGTCTTTTTAACCCTAGCATTCAAAAAGCAATGTTTTAAAATCTTTTTAAACAGATCTATTTAAATAAACACTTTTACAGAGGAGCAAGTTGGGTTAAACCCAAGTGAATGTGGCAACCACATTATACTGACTAAAGGGAACACAGACTGTTTGCAACCACCCAGCCCTCCTTCCCACATTTCAAAGAAAAGTTCGGATCCTCCCATTTTTGGGTCAAGGTGTGACTGATAGAGGAAGGATTTATCTTAGTGTTCCTTTTGGGGCCTAGACACCAAGAGTGTGGCTTACACCTTTCCCCCAACTTTCTAAGCACTGTGATAACATTAAAGCAATAAAGTTGCTACCCATTTATATGTCTAGAGATTTACTTAGTATGACTAAAGACTGTCAGTTTTCTGATGTAGAATCACAGAATGGTTTGAGCTTGAAAGGACCTTAAAGCCCATCCAGTTCCTCCTCCACCACAAGCAGGGCCCCCTTCCCCCAGCCCAGGGGGCTCCCAGCCCCGTCCAACCTGGCCTTGAACCCTTCCAGGGAGGGGGCACCCACAGCTGCTCTGGGCATTCTGTGCCAGTGCCTCATCCCCTTCACGGGGAAGAATTTCTGCCTTAGATCTCACCTAAATCTGCCCTCTAGCAGCTTAAAACAGTCACCCCTCGCCCTATCCCCACCCCCTGATCAAGAGTCACCCCCCACCTTTCCTGACCCCCCTTTAAGCTCTGGGAGGCTGCTCGAAGGTTTCCCCAGAGCCTTCTCTTCTCCAGGCTGAACCCCCCCAACTCTCTCAGCCCGGCCTCCCAGGGGAGCTGCTCCAGCCCCCCCAGCATCTTTGTGGCCTCCTCTGACCCCGCTCGAGCAGCTCCGTGTCCTTCTGCTGTTGGGGGCCCCCGAGCTGGACACAGCACTTCAGGGTGGGGGTCTCATGAGAGCAGCAATCCCAGCTCCCTTTCCTTCTATTTGACATTTACTGTCAGCAAAATCTCAAGTGTACCTTTGGCCTAGGAGAAACAAATCACTACAAACTTTCAAAGGCACACCCTCCACTGAGCAATTATCACAGGCCCTTTCTCACACTGAGGCAGCGATCATGTTGATAAAGTGTCAAAAGGCACGCTATGCCCCTGTGTGTGCTGAGACGCCTTGCTGGCGGGCACCACGGGTGCGGACACGGTGTACGAAGGCCTGCCAAGTGCCAAGAGCAGCGCCCGGTGCCCTCTGCACAGCCCGCCAGGCCGCCTGGCTCTGAGCGATGGCCTAGGGGCAACCTTCAGCCCCTCCAGCCTACCTGGGTACCGACTCCAAAGCTGGCGCTGAGGGCTCCGCCGCCGGAGCTGAAGTTTGGGGAGAAAAAAAGGTTTTTTTTTTCCCTTTTCCCCGCCGTTCTGCCCGCCTCGGCGGGGCCGGGCCAGGCCGCAGCCGCACGCGGTTGTCATAACAACGGCGGCCGCCAAGGGCAGGGCCGCGCATGCGCCGAGCGCGGGAAGCCACCCCCCCACACCCCACCCCCCCCCCCTCAGCGCCTCAGGCAGCCATGACAGTTCCTCCTCCGCCGTTCCTGTACCTCGGGGAATTTCCCTCCCTTCCCCGTAGAAAGCCCGGTCCCTCCGGGTTACGGAGGTGACGCGAAGGTTTCTGCTCCTTATCCCGTCCCACGCTGAGGGGGGAGGGAGGAAGGCAGCTACAGGAAAAGGGCTCTGCGCAACGGAGGGCGGCTCCTTACGCCCTTCCCAGCTCCGCCCCGGTGAGGGAGATCTAGGAGAACAAGGAGCCAAGGTCAGCAGGATCGCAGCGGTTAGGAATACTCTTTCCAGTAGCACTGCACCCTCCCAGGTGATTTTTATTCATACGGATAAACTCACCCCATTCCTCCGCAGGAGGCTGCATGCACAGGGGGAGCCCCCCCCCCAAAAAAAAAAAAAAAACACCAAACAAATCCATAGCAAACACTTGCTATCTCCAGTGCTCACGCATTTATTGATATTTCATCTCCCACTGCTCTGTACAATATATCACAGGAAGGTGCAGTATGTACCTTGTAGCATTTGTTACAAAGAGACACACTGTCACCATGGAATGCAAGCTATAGGAGAAAATGCGGTTTTTACAAATTGGCTTTATCAACACATTTATTTCTGTGACTGCTGTTGGAGGTACAAGGGGTTTGAGTGTAAAATAACAGTGGCAATTTACAGAGAAGGGTTTTAAGACCTCATCGAGGATGATGGGGGCTTTTCAGATTGAAATGTTTTAAAATTTCTATAGGGAATGATACTGCAGAAATCAGGGCTAAATCGTATCCTTTAACTAAAAGGATCAGAACACCAAAGTTTAGATTTCACAATATGTATTTTAAATGTTACATTTAAATGTTATTCAGAAGAACACTGTAAATAAAAGTTAAAAAATAGAGGAATCTTAGAGTCTGAAAATCTATAGTAAAAATAGGGAGCCTGTGTCTTCATTAACAATGAATAAATATAACATTTAAATAGCTGCAACGTACCAAATACTTATGCCTTAAATAAAAAAAAAATAGATGTTTATATCTCAATATTTTAGAAGTCATTTAGTGCTAACTGGAAGCTTCTAAATTACAAAAAGTTGGAGGCTGACAAATATACAAGATAGAAAATGACAGCAAAGCATTCACAACACTACCTAATGTTCTGCCTGAGGCTGAACAGAAGCTAGTTCAGACTTTGTGGTTTTAGGGCAACAGCAGCAAAAAGGAGTCACCAATTTTAAGACTGAGCTGACAGTCGAGAGGGAAGGTAAAGGGACTGTTCTCTACTATATCCCCTAAAAACTGGGATATGGTAGCGCCAATCAAAGAATCAGACCGTGATACCCACTCCCTCAGTGCGCAATCATTTAGGCTGCCAGCTTCAAGACAGTGTACCATGCACAAAATAGATATAGGGCAATTTTCCAATACCATGTATTATTTTTTTTTTTCCTCAAGAACCCCTTGATAGGAGGTTTGTAGCTGCAGTTCACAGGCCACCACCAGGACAGAGATTTCAGTCATCCTCCCATTACTCCTTGGGCTTCATCACATACTCCCGAAACATTGAATAGAGCACACCTGCAAGACAGAAATATAACCACAATTAGAAAGCTGGGTTAAATAGGAAATAATGGGTTTCAAAATCTGAACACTAAGAGATAGTTGCAGCAACAGAAATAACGTTTCCCTTCCTCTTCTGCTGTCTGTATTTAATTTTTTTAATAGCAGTGATGAACACTACAAAATTATTAATATACAGAGAAACTGGATATGAAAATATACTGTATATGAAAATGCAGATCTCAAGCCAAATCTACTTTGCTTTGCAGCCAAAGTCAAGCTTTTCTATTGTGCCTTCTGGGAATACAGTATAGACAAGCAGTGTTTCATGGACTAGACATTTACACACACAGACAATACTTAGATGAGACTTGGGATGTACAAATCACTCTGCACATTCAGGGACACGATTCCAGTCCTGAAAATGATACCATAGGCTATGCAAGCTGATCTTCCAAGACATTAAATTCAGAAACAGCAACATATTTAGAAGGGAAAATATTAGTATCAGCTAGTCTTTTCTTTGCCTCTTATTTCAACACCTGCAGAACCCCACATACTTCCCAAGTCTAAAAGCAGTCAAAACTTCTACTCTCAAAGGAAGTGCAGTTTAATATGTATACTTAAGCATCATGTTACTCTAGAAAGGCTGAACAAACACCCATAACGACCACAAACATCCTGAAATATAATGGCCTGGACACATCCACCCCGAGGATACTTCACACACGCTGTGTTATCCGCTAGCAGACGTGCGAGAGGTCCTTGGTTGGTTGCAACCTCCGGTGCGGTACCTACCACACGTTATCGCTCCCACGACGAAGCCTTGGGCCGCCACGCGCATGTGGATCAAGTGAAGTGACATTTTCATGTCACCTCTGTGCTTCAGCCTGTACAGCCCGTAGCCAACCACCATGGCGAAGCCTGCCATCCCTACAAGGCAAGGCAAGCATCCTTGTGAGTCGAGACCCGAGTCACGGAGACGTGTGAAGCGAGCCTCCTAAACAAGAGATCCTGGCAATAATCATGGTTTTGTGTAGATGGCAAGTCCTGGCCTCTCTGCTGTTTTCACTCAAGCACCATCTCATTTAATGCCCAAGTCAGTGCAGGGAAGAGCGACAGACTTCCACTGCTATTAAAAATGCCATGGCAGTAGCTCAAGGTGCCAAGAGTTTCTTGGATATTTTTCAGAAAGAAAAAGTGCTGCTTGCACCCTCTTTCCCAGAAGGAAGCTTACACCCAAGAACACCACTCAGCTGCAGCGCAGACCCTTAGCGGGTGGATGCTCCCTGACATCCCTACCAGCCTCCTGAGGTGTTACTTTGGGTGTTGTCACATCTGGCCCGATTTCACCTGGACAGGACGAGTCCTTACGTTACTTGCCCCGTGCTGTGGGGCAGGGGGTTCAGGAAGGGCTCCTTCACAGGGACAGAGTTCACTTTCAGTCCTTTGACAACCCAAAGTTGGCTGTGCCAACTCCAACCTGTGTACTGATGCTCTCACAGAATACAGGGTGGCAATGCACAAAATTCCCCAATTCCATCCACTTTATTCCATATTTAGGATGATTATTTACAGGGTTCAGAGGAGGCTGCCAAGTTTTAGGTCCTGTGTATATTTTACTGATGAGATCCCAGGCAGCTTGTCTCCCCGAACAGGAATACTACCAGTTCCACTCGTGAAGCTGTGAACCCTTATTTCACTGGTGCATGATCTGTGTGGCAGCTTCATTAAATACCAGTTAAGAGTTTTAGGGCTATTTTAGGGTTCAAACTAGCTCCGACACAGGCTGAAGGCAAGTTCTGCCAATCTGCTTGGGTGAACCCGAATTCGTGGAGTTCGTAGTACACCCTAGCAAGTGGGAGAGCAAAGTCCTGTGACCACAGAAACCAGTGATGGCTATCTTGGGACAGTTCACCCCAAGTGACCTGACTGCTCTCCATTTAAGGTGGCTGGAAATCAAAACGTGTCTTGTGTCAGAGGCTGTTCCTGATCAGAGGAAAGTTCTCAGGGTGTACATGACTGATCCTCTCTCTGAGGCTTTTTCAGGGTCTCGGCAGAGAGGCCGAGAACTTTAACAACTTTCTCAAGCTGGGCTATCATAAAATCTACTAAGAAAACGCATTTTTTAGCAGGCAGGCTGTATTTTAGATACTTCTGTTTTGTATTTTGTTAGATTTGCAGTCACTTCACAGTGATCACAGGGTTCCCAGCACCCGTACTCTATAACAGCTGCCAAACATACTCCTTACCACCTAACAGGATCACTTGAACGTATTTTTTAAACTCACCTAAACAGTCTTTCAGGGCTTGTTGGCTTGGGATTTTTTTGATAACTGTAGGTTCTGAGTTTAAGGTAACAGGCTTTACTAATTTTCCTGTTTCTTGCAGAACAACTACCATTCTGGGCAGGAGGAGTACTGCTATCACCACACAGCCTACAGGAGGAAGTAATTTCAAAGTAATTTCCTGTTCACAGGAAAAAAGTGAGCAGGGACAGTGTTTACCGTATTGATTTCCCATGAAGTGAAAGAACTCTGTAACTACACTTCTTCACTTTCAAACTTACCGATGGGTACAAACGGCGTCTCTTTAAATTTTCTTAACAGCTTTGATGTCTGGCTGGTGTCAGTCTCATACTCAGAGTAAACGGATTCCTGACCGGATGACATGGTGGCTGCGAAAACAAAGAGTCTCTCTTCAGTTTTAGAAACACCGAGTTAAGAGAACTTTTAGAAGAAAATCCCTCGTGTATTCCACCAGTCATGAATGTCCATGTAGTGATGTATGAGCACAGGAGCTAGACTCGAGCTGATGAACTACATACCGATGATTTAAATCAAGTGAAATTTTGGGAAGCAAGATCTTTACGTACTAGAACATGTAAGGACAGGAGGGCAAAAAAAAAGATATAGTGGAGCAACAAATTTCTGCCCTCTGTTTTCACACCGTTACAGATCCCAGTGCCCCCACCCCAGGCAGCAAGAAGCCACTGAAAGCTTTGGTCACTGCCTGTGTTTCCTTTAAGCCTTCCATCCTCCACCACACCGCTCTGCTTTCACAGGCTGGTCCTTCATAGCAGCTCTGACCTCAGGAGAGTTCATTCCTCCTCTTTCACACCCTGCCAAGAACAGCAAGCGAAGCACTTGGGGCGGAAAGCGCGAGTTGCTGCGGAAGGTTGGCTCTACCTGGCAGCTCCATCATTCACTACCACGGCCTAGCCCACCGTGTTCACCGCTTCAGCGGAGTTTCAAATTCCTGCTGGACAACACCGAGTGTAAAACGGCAGCTGCTGAGGAGTGGGAACGGGTTTTGAAGCCCTTGCCAGGCACAAGCTCACGTGGGGACGCCTCGGGGTGACGAGCAGAGTTTCCACTGCAACACAGGTGATTTCTCACCTGCCCCCAAGGGAAAAAAAAAAATAAAATTAAAGCAGCAACAGGCACTAGAAGGGCTCTGCTTGCTGAGCCGTCATCACCAAACCAGTGAGACCATCCGCCAAAACTCTCCAGCTTGCTGTGCTGTCCTTGTCATGGATTACACCAAGACCTGTTCCTCCTTCAGTTTGTGACTATTTCTGCTAGCACAATTAGCTCAGCGACGTCACAGCGGTCTCTGCTAGAAAAATCTCTACCAGGATTGTTCTAGTTTTGCCATCAACACGCTCAGCAGCAAAACACAGCTCGGCCTCACGTGGAAGTACTCCAAGCTTTTGAAACAAGTCAACAGAAATGTGATTTGAGCACAGGCTGTCAAACACATGCAAAGAGACATTTCAAAGGCAGCTGTATTCCCTGGTTACACAGCATTTTGAGCACATCCATTCCAGCGGACTGTGTTTTAAACTAAGAGTGCGAACCATCCCCTTTGCAGGCCAAAGGATTTGGTGTCTCTGCCCCTGCTACAACTACCCGGATTTGTTAAATACTATGTTTTAGCCTGACTCATTCGGGGAAGGAAACATGAGAGCGCCCTGTCACTCAGGAGAGGTGGAGGCAGCCAGAGGTGAGATTTACACAAGAAAAGGATATTGAGAAATGAATCCTTTTGTCCGCTCGAAGAGGTTCCCACGACATTCAGCTCACGCAGAGGCCGGGGTGGGCGCCAGGCGGGGGAACCCGGGCGAAACGCCGGTCCCGGCTGCCCTGACCTTGCAACCCCCCCCCCCCCCCCCCGCAGCGGGAAAACGCGGGGCCCCACGGGGGACACCCGTGACACACGGGTGGGGAAAAGCGACAGACTTCAGCGCCTCACCCGCCAAAGAGTGGGGCGGCTCTGGGCACCGCCTGGTTGCCTTCCTCCCGCCCAAACCCACACCGGCGCCCTGCCCTCCCCCCACACAAGGCCTCCGCTCTACTCCAAGCCTCTCCCCCTACAACTAGTGCTTCCTCCTCCTCCTCCTCCTCTTCCCCCGAGGTCTCTCCCCATCCCAGCTCTCCCCTGGGCTCCCGGATTCCCGACTTCCCCCCCAGTTCCCCGGCCCTCACCACGCTGCTGCTGCCGCCGCTCGTCCTCGCTGACCCCGACACCGGCCGGCATCTGCGGCGCCTGGCCACGCCCCCCGCCTCTTATTGGCCATCTCCGCCCCGCCCCCCTCCTCCCTAAGCACCCTCCCTTGCCGAGAACTACGGCTCCCAGCGTGCCTCGCGACAGCTCGCCCGACCGCCCGCCAATCCTGAGCCGCCCGCGTCCTTATACGGGGTGGGGAGGCGGGGCGAACCGTGACGTCACGGAGGGGCGGAGCTGCACTGCGCATTGCGGTGCGTTCAGACGCGGGAAGCGAGTGGAGGCGGCGGCGGTGCCCCGATCTGCCGCTAGGGGGCGCTGTGGGACACAGCCCTTCCCCCCCCACCCCCGAAAGTGGGGTTTTAGATTGAAAAAAGCAACCTAAAGCTTTTTTTTTTTTTTTTTTTTTTACTGCGACTTCGTGGCTTTTCGCTTCAAAAAAATTCTCCTTTCTCTATAAACCCACACTTCGACGTCAGGTGGAAGCTTTCCCTCCGTCTGATTTTCTTTTTCCTGCCTGTGAATTCTCTCATCGACTATTTTTTTTTCCTGAATTTCAGCTTCGAAGCCGAGCTCGCTTTGCCCCCGCTGCATGCCAGGCAGTGAGTTTTGAAGCCCAAAGACAGCCTAGAAATTGCTCCAGTCTTTAAGCAAACCGGACTCGGGAGCAGGAGGAAAAATCCCCTGCGATCCTGAAGATGCCTAACCCCCCCCTCTAAACCCAGGGGCAGCTATCAGAGCAAAACAGTGAAGTGAAGCCCTTTTCTCCAAAACCCCGGCCTGATTTTGCAGTGTTGGGGTGCAGTGTTCATGACTCCCCATCTCCCAGCACGAGGGGAAGCAGAGCTGCTGCTCCTCCGGGGCCACTCTGCCACTGACATGCGGCATTTTGGGCAGAATAATCGAAAGTGGCTCAGATAACCATTTGTTAGTACCGCCGTATCTCTCTAAATGTGCTTCACATTACCAGTAATCTGGTTACTTTAATTGCCAAAGCCATTAGGGCTCTGCGGAGCCTGAAAGAAAAAAAAAAAAAAAAATCTATGCAATTACCAGCTCCCGAATTGAGTTAAAATCTTGTAATAAATTACAGTGAAGGCTACTTTCTCCAGTGAGTCTCAGAGGCACGTTTAAGTCCCTGCAGCTCTGTGCAATATATGCTTTGGGGGAGAAACTCAATTAAAAACAAAAACTTATTTCATTTTAATTGCTGGTCTAATGAAACTGCTGTCACCTGTAGCGTCCCTGTGTACGTGTCTGGCACCTTGGCTTTGCGAGCGGCTTCTTGCCTTCTGCTAATGTCTATATTACCCATATATATTTATTATAGGGTATCTTTTAAATGCAAACACATGTGTACACCAGTTGATGATGGCAACATGGAAACGAGTAAAAATAACATCTTTTTCTATGTGTACCTACCTACCGTGGGGCAGGTTGGATGCAGAGCTGTAGCCATCCTTGCTGCTGTCTTCTCCCATTTTTACCAGGGCAGTTTAGGGTTTATAAAGAGCACCAGGGTTGGTGTGAGGGATGGCCTTGGCATGCTCAGGGTGTTCCCCATGGCCCCATTAGCTGGTGAGACTGAAACAAGCTGGAGGGTGACCACCCACCAACAGTGATGCTCTAAAACCTCTCCAATAAACCGCTTTATCAGAGACACCTTTGACAGGTGAGCGAAGGGGCGTGCCATGAAGCTGTCCCCAAAACATCTCTCTGCCAGGATGCCTACCACATCCCTGCTGTGCTCGATCTCTGCACAGTCAACCATGACCACAAGCTCCTTATTCTGGTACCATGTGCAAGGTTTTGCCACTGCCTGCAAAAATGTGATTGTCCCCACGGAGCTACCAACGCCCGCCAGCCCCAACCATGTCCCCTCTGGTAGCTTTTGCTGTTCTTGCAGGGAATGAGGATTCTGCAGCATCCACGTAACACGTGGCTTATTCAGATTTCCTGGAAAAAATGCAGATTTCTACATCGGAGTATCACCCCGGGAGTCTCTTAGTGCAGAGACCAAGCACTGAGATCCTGCCCGGGAGAGTTGGGAGGTGGGCAGAGTGGATGTGTTCAGCTCGGGGGCCCCCAACAGCAGAAGGACATGGACCTGCTGGTTATCTTTAAGCGAGTGGCTGGTCTATGTGCTTGACTGGGTGACCTTCATCTGACACAGTGCAGAAAAAAACCTACTTCAGACTATTCTGTGGGTGCTCTCACCACCCAGCCTGTGCATGCTGGGGGCACACAGGCTCCACCAGTCATCTTCACGTTGTGCTGACGTGGGTCCTCGGTCCCAGCAGCTCTGCCTGTCCCCAGCAGGTGCTTGAGTTGAGCTATGCAAGAGCAGGTTGTATTTGTGAAGGAGAGGTGCTGGCTCCCTGCGGCAGCCGTGGCAGAAGACACTGTGGTCCTGATGGGTATCTCAAGTGGCAAAGCCCAACTCTGGGTGAAGGCACCAGCTGTATATGTTGTAGAGGGACACGTGCTCAGACACAGCCTGGAGATGATTCCTCCAGTGCTGTCACCCACTTATCAAAACCAGGAAAGACGAAACAAAACCAGGGAAGTCACACTGAGTTCATTTCCTGCCCATCCTCTTACATAAGTAACAGAAGTTCCTAAAAACCTGATTCAAGCCTCTGGCAGCATGGGAACAGGAGAAGCTCCTGTAAGTGCATTTTCTGCTTCTTGCTTGTAGACAAAGCTGCATGAGAAACCTGGAGAGGTTCTCTTTTCTTCTTGAAAGTTAGCCAGCTCACAAGCGCCAGTGCTTGAGCAGGCTTGGGATTAATTTGTGAGCTCAGCCTATGTTGCATTCATCAGTTCTCTGCTATCAGCAAGGGGATGGGGATGTGAATGTTAGTGCCAGTGTTATATGGCATGGGGAGGATGCACCAGAGGGAGAAAAAGCATTGTGGTGTCCTGGAACACACCCAGAACTGGAAATTCGGGGAATGGCTTGTCCTGATGTGGGTGCAGAGGGCGTGTAGGGGGGGAAGGTGTTTAAGAGTCTTGCTCGGTGTTGTTGCGATCAGAAATGTGGGCAGATTTGGTTCCCTCTTGAAGGTGTAGTCAAAACTGTATATGGCTAAGGATGAATTTCCTTCAAAATATGAAACAGAAAAAAAGCCCAAAAAGCTCATTCCCAGAAAAGTTTTTTTTCTGGCACTCTCCCATGGCAGATCCCTCCTCTCTATGGTTGCTCTGTCTGAAGTGCCCTGGAGCACTCCCCAAAGAACTGTGAGACAGCAAAAAAACATGTAAATCCAAACGAAATTTTCTTCTCTTTTATTTTCAGCCACCTAGAATTGCCTGGAATGGGTATTTAAGCAATTTTAGACATAGGACCGCAACAGGTATGTCCACAGCTTCACCCCTTATGGCTTCACACCCGCAAGTATCTCAGCACCTCACTCCAAGCCTCAGGTGCTTTGCTTAACCTGCTTGGGGAGGAGGGGCTCCCCTTTCCTGGGGTGTTTGTGGGAAGGGAGCCGTCCCTCGAAGTTACAGAGCCACCATGGGGTATGCCCTCCCTTGGATGCGTAGCACAATCAGGGTCCAGCAGCTTCATTTTCTCATTCCTCGGTGGCTGCGGGTCTCTGGGGCAGTGGGAGAAACAAGTCCTCAAGGAGAGCAAGGCAGCTTTGGCCATGACTGAAACCCAGTGTGTTTTAGGAGGGGAATTTGTACTATTTTTTTCCCTGTGACAGCCCTGGCTTGCTGTCAGAGCCTGGAAATTAGTCTTGATTTTTAAACCCCACATTAACCTTCATGGTACCAACAGGAGGTGGCTCAGGCAGATCCCGTCTCCCATTGTGGGAGCTGGGGTCTTCAGCGACAGCCATTGCCCAGTTTGGATGGCTTTTGGAGGATGAAACCCAGGTAGTGCTCTTGTGTGGTGGTTTTGTGTTGGTTTTTTTTTTTTTTTTTTTTTTTTCCCGAAAATCATACTTCAGAAGTAGGAAGCTCTCCACATCAGTCATCATTTCCTGAAATCTGGGTTGCAGCTGTCTAAACACTGACACCAGCCTGGAGTCCCGGGGAATGACCAACTACACAGCCCGCCTTGATCAGCAGGGTTTCAACCCACGCCTTGTCTCACACAGGATCGAGTCCAGCAACATCCCTCCAGCTAAATCTCTACCTCTACCTCTAACCTCAATTCAGGAGTTGATTCTGGTGTCTACATGTCCTTATTTTGTATAAGGCTTTGAGCAACCTGGTCTAGAGGAAGGTGTCCCTGCCTGTGGCAGTGGGGTTGGAACTAAATTATTTTTAAGGTCCCTTCCTACCCAAACTTTCCTATGGTTCTATGATTCTAAAATTACATGTGTCGTGGTTTAAGCCCAGAAGACAACTGAGCACCACGCAGCCACTCGCTCACTCCTTCCTCCTCGAGGATGGGGAGGGGAAAATCAAATGAAAAGCTCAGGGATTGAGACAAGGATAGGGAGGGATGAGTCACCAATTATGGCCATGGGCAAAAGACAGACTTGATTGGGAAAGGAAAAGAACATCAATTTAATTTGACCACCACCACTGCCACTTTATCAATCAAACAGAGTAGGACAGGGAGAAATACAACCACATCTTAAAAACACCTTCCCCCTACCTCTCCCTTCTTCCTGGGCTCATCTTTCCTCCCAATTTCTCTACCTCCTCACCTCCAGCAGCTCATGGGGGCAGGGAAAGGGAGGTTGTGGTCAGTTCATCACCTTTTGTTTCTACTGCTCCTTCCTCCTCAGGGGGAGGACTCTTCACACTCTTCCGCTGTTCCAGCGTGGGATCCTACTCACTGGAGACAGTTCTCCGCAAACCTCTCTGACATCAGTCCTTCCCCACAGGCTGCAGCTCTTCATGAACTGCTCCAGCGTGGGTCCCTGCCGTGGGCTGTAGTCCTCCCAGCAACAGGCTGCTCCAGCACGGGCTTCCCACAGAGTCCCGGCCTTCTCTGGGCACATCCACCTGCTCTGGTGTGGGGTCCTCCACGGGCTGCAGGCGGGCATCTGCTCCACCGGTGACCTCCATGGGTGGCAAGGGGACAGCCCACCCTCTCAGCATG